TGTAGCTGTGCATATTGAACTAAAAACTATAAACAAATAGTAAAGCTTTTTTAAGTGCTTTACAAATACGCTGTGTATCCATTTAGATTATCTGTAGAAGAGAAAGATTACGAATAGATGCTTATAACAGAAGGAAATCTCTAAATCTTTGCCAAAATTCTCACAAATCTCAGTTACGTCCAATCCTCCTATCCCACTTCGATGTCAACTTTCTCACCGACAAAGAAACCAATGGCTCACCCTATTCCACAGGTCTATGGATCTAGATTTGATTAAAGGAGTAAAGAATTTGATGTAAACTCTTTATCTAACAATCTAGAAGATAACAATCTATTGGGTTGTCCAGTTATGAATGCGCGTTTTTTATTTCTCAAGATACCCAAATCAAGAAAAAGATATATATGAGTATTATTCGAAAGCTGAAGATCTCCTCTACATTTTGATATCAAAAGTTTTTGAATTTGTTCAGCTTTTGGGCAAATTGACTGCACAGAAGAAGAGGTGGCCAAAAAATGGAAAGGTGCCTTTGGATCAAGTTTTGGCTCCAATCAAATTGAGTTAACCGTTTGCTGTTTGGCCAATAGATATATCAATACAACTTTTTTAAAAATATAACAATTTCAGAGCATCTTTACTTTTCTTTTCGGTTCTTTTACACCATAAAACTTGAGGAATAGCTAAGCTGAAATGGGTTTTTTCGAAAACGACTTCTCCCTTTGTGCAGTCAATTTCCCAAAAAGTTGAATAAATTCAAAAACTTTTTATTCCAAAGTGTAGAGGAGATGTTCAGCTTTCGAATGATATATAACACTCATATACATCTGTTTGATATCTTGAGAAATTTACAAAATAGTGAAAAACGCGCACTCATAACTGGACAACCCAATAAAAGATAACAATCTAGAAAGTTATTTAGGAATCGATCGATTCATTTGATACGATTTATGAAGGAGGAGATATGGGAGAAATTGAGAAAGAAGACAAGAAAGAATGATCAACGAAATCGCCATTTTATTATGCTTTTTGGCATAAATTTTTGGAAGATCCATTTTTGGAAGATTAAATGATTTCTTAAAACATAAATGGGCCAAATTAAACTTTCTGAAGAGCAAAAATACATTCAAAATTAGTTTTTATGCTTTACTATGTCTAGTTATGCGTAAAAAAACACAAAAATAATGAAGGGAAGGGGGTGGGACAAATGCGGCTTTTTTTTTGCGCACCTGGACATTTGCGCACCTTTTTTTTGCTGGAAAAGGCCTTAGGAAAAGTCGTAGAGCTTCGAAAACCTTTTCATAGAAGGGAATCGTATGCGTAGATTCCGAATTTCGACAAATCAGACCTCGCTGACACGTCAAATTTGGGCTAAAAGGCAAAAACTGCGGAAAAGCGTTAAGTTGCGTAGTTTTTGCCTTTTAGCCCAAATTTGACGTGTCAGCGAGGTCTGATTTGCCAAAATTCGGAATCTACGCATACGATTCCCTTCTATGAAAAGGTTTTCGAAGCTCTACGACTTTTCCTAAGGCCTTTTCCAGCAAAAAAAAGGTGCGCAAATGTCCAGGTGCGCAAAAAAAGGTCGCATTTGTCCCACCCCCGAAGGGAATAATTTTGAAACGAAAAAACTTCGACCTTTTTGGATCGTAAAGTTCAATTTAGCTCAAAAATGCTAGACAAATCTAAAAGCTATTGCAGAATTCAAAATCCCAAATCACAATTCAAAAGCCAAAAGAAAATATACCGTATTTTCTTTAATAGTAGTGCGCACTACTATTTTTTCAACCCCCCTCCAGCCTGCACTACTATTACAGACTGCACTACTATTACAGAAAATACGGTAATAGCGATTCACTAAGGATATCAATAATCATTCATTTCTAAAAACTAAATTACATCAGATTTCCAAATTTGTAGATATATCGAGCTCTTGTTGCTGTACAAGTGCAAAACTTTATCGTCAGATACAAGCTTTAACATTTTGTGTCATGTTTTTGATCATTTTGTGTCTTGTTTGTCATGCTTTATGTCTAATCCCTATATCCAACAATATTCCCTTGCCTAATCAAGTCCTAATCAAGTCAATATTTGTCAATTCGTTTCTCGATCATTTCATCAATCAACTCTTTTAACCGAAATCTCCTTGACACAATTTTCATTAGGAGATTCGCTTTTTTTGCAACGAAAACGGATTCGCGATATTTCTGAAGCTAGTGCGAGATAAGGGAAAAAGCAGGGAAGTGCCCGCGAACAGATTTCTGCGGAAAGGGTAAATGGGGAAGAGTAAAGGGGTGACTGTTGTGTAAAAAGCGTTGAGTGACCCCCAAAGGCGACCCAGATTCCTTCTCTTTTACCGTCTGTTCACCGCTGTTTTAACCCCAGTCCTTGCTCTTTTTTTCTTTCGTTTTTTTACGTGAATTCGCGACTTTTCTTTTCTATGAACATGTCCCCAATGAAAAGTGAGTTTTAAAAGAAAGATTATGAAATGGGTAAATCTAAACTGAATCCGGGCTGTCAATCTGATTAGTAAAATTCTAGCTTAATATATTTGTGCTAGCTTAATGTATTTGTGCTAGTTTAATGTATTTGTTAAAAAGTTAACATAGAAGTTAGCTTAAAAGTTAGCCTTACTTAAAATTTAGCTAATCGTAAATAAAGCTTGTCAAAGATGTCGTAAAACGTAAATAAAGATGTCAGCTAATTGTAAGTTGCAATAAAAAAGCTTTGCTGGAAGATCTAATAAGAATATTATTTGTAAGATTAAAATCGATGTTTAGCAGAATTATTTGAATCTTCTTCTTGTTTAGAATCTTCTTAGAATCTTCTTTAGAATCTTCTTTAGAATCTTCTTTACAATCTTCTTTAGAATCTTCTTTAGACTCTTCTTTAGAATCTTCTTTAGACTCCTCTTTAGACTCTTCTTTAGAATCTTCTTTAGTGTGTAGAGCTGTGTATCTTCTTTAGAATGTAAAAAATGATGTTGGGTTAGTTATAGTTATAGGATTAGTTATTTTGTTTTTGTTCTGGAAGATTTTGCTCTCTAAAGATCTGGTAGTCAAGGATAACTTTGGGACCAAGTTAACACCGCAAAATTTTGTTTTAAGAACCTGAATGATTATTTAGAATCATTATTCCAGATTATTTATGTTCTGATTACTTATTTGATTACTTATTTGATTACTTATTTGGTTACTTATTTGATTACTTATTTGATTACTTATTTTCCAGATTATTCTCATAGAATCCCTGGTAGATAAAAGTACATTAGCGTTCTCTTCGAGAATTGCTCTAATGATTTCCCATTCAATGCATAAAGAAAGATCCTGAATATATAATATTAGAACATTTAAAGATTGGAAGAATTTCTGATCCTTTTCTCTTGAATGGCTTTTATCGAAATAAAACAAAAAACAAAAGCTTTGAGTTTGAGCTCGGGGAAATTGAACCGGTTATTTCGTCATGGAAATTGGCTTCGAGACTTTTCTTTCTATTTTCCTTTTCGACATTCAAAGCGTTTTTGTTTCAATTCCACGTAATGATAAGAAAAGGAATAAACTTTGGAGGAAAAGGATTAAAATAGCTGTTTGGCTTATGGCTTATTTGGGAAATCGATTGGCTTTGGTCGATTGGCTTTAGTCGATTGGATTTGATTTGCTTTGATCGATTGGATTTGATTTGCTTTGATCGATTGGATTTGATTTGCTTTGATCGATCTAGTTACTAGTCGATTTATCGATGAATTTATTGAGAGTCTTCAAAATTATCTAATCTTGTCAATCAATTGGATCATATCTAAGATTTTCTATTCATTGATATAGATCGAATCGATTCATTGATCTAGATCGAATCCAATCTGTTCATTGATCTAGATCTAGTGAAGGTACTCGGTACCAAATTCCCAATCGTTTAGTTCCTTCACTAACCCCCAATATCGGCCCTCTTTTGACCGTTTAGATATTGACATTGACCTGCTTGAGAAAGGTCGCCTCTTTGGGAACAGAAAAGGGAAAGAGAAGCGTCAGACTGTCACCACTCCACAAATGATGCCCTAGTTATTGCATTTAGTCATTTTTTCACTTTTTGATATTTGTCTAATAACTCAAAATATCTAGAATCAGGCTTATTTTCTAGCGCAAAACTTGATCTAGAACTCCGCTATTGTTCAGAGATGAGATTGACTGGTAAACTGTTGCGACTGGTAAACTTAAAACTAAGGTATACTGTACTTTTAAGTAGATTAAAGTTGTTAATTCCTTTAAGTATCCTTTAGTACATCGTAAATAATAAATAAATAACAAATAAATAATAAATAAGTAACAAATACGATCAGTGCTCATTTCAATAATACCTTACTCAAGTCTAGAAGCAGTCAAAAACTGTTTTGAATTTAAAACAGTTTTGATTTCCCTCAAAGTCCCTTTAAAATTAGCATTTTTGAAACCGTTTCCCCATCTTTTTTTTCTGCTATATAGAGAAAAGCGATTCACACAACTTTTCAAGTATACGGGATAATAGAGGTCATTGTTGTGGGTGTGTGAAAAGGGGAGACAGCTGAGCTCACCCCAGCCCTGGATCTAGATGAAATCCGCTTCGATTCTATACAATGACTTTCAATTTTGAGATCATCGAGCTTTCAAAGCGAAACATTTTTAGATTTCTAAAGGGTTTCCTTGTTTTCAAAGTAAGGACTGTTCTTGTAAGGACTTTACCTTTGAAGAAATTCAAGTAAGTTATGCGAATTGGAGTGAGTGATGGCTTTCACCATTACATCATTATCTTTAAACACCCACATTGTTTACCCACACTTCTTGTACACGTTGCTTTCTCTATTTATAAACAGGAGGCGCATCTTTCCTAGCCCATTATTCCCAATCTTCTATTCTTGCATTTGGTCAACGAAATTTAGTCATTCCCTATCATAAACCGCTTATTCCACGTCGGCTTACCAGTTCTCCCTTTTCTCAGTCTTTCAATTTCTCTCGATCATCATTGTCTTGCGGTCTAAGATGTGGGCAAAAAAAATGGAGAATCCCATGTATTCCAGGGCATCGCGTTGGAAGTTGCGGGGCGGCCGCGTTGCGAGTAGGTTAAATCGGCGTGGACCAATGGGCGGGGGGAAAAGGGGCGGATCGTCTCAACTCTTTTGCAATGAAAGAGAGGCAGGGGCAAGGTCGGGCTGCGAGAGCCTAAGCTGACGCGTCTCTACATAGCGAGGAGGGGTCCACACAGATTCTCACCCGCAATCCTTTTTGTGCCTTCAGGATAGTTTTCCTTCTTGTCTTCTCCCATCTCTTGTCCACCCGGCACCGCCGGTCACCTCTCTATGATCGTTGAAAAGAAACTGTACACACAAAAGCTTACTTTCTTTCAAATCATCTTTCTTTCATCTTCTCATCTTTCTTTTGATCCAATTGAACTCTTTTGGATAAGAAATTAGATCTTTTAAGTGCCAGATTGCTTTTAGCTTTAACTTTCGGCCTTAAATTTTAGAAATTTTCAATTTTGCGCTTAAAACGAGAGATTTTAAAGTATTCAACAAGTGTTTTTTCCATTTTAAAACCAAAACTTTCAGGAAAACTGTAAAAATGAAAAATATTCTCTTGTCGCTAAAAAATTATGCGTAGATGATACGCTTTATACTCAAAAATTATCACAAATTTTGAATTTTCAGCTTTCCGATTAAATATTTTGACGCTGATTCACGAAAATCGGAAAAATTTTTTCTTTTGTAAAATTGTCCCGTCGCGAATTGAAATCTTTCGCAATTTCTCCGATTTCTTTCTGTTTTTGCCTTCATTAAATGTTTTTACGTACTAATTTTATTTCTTTAGCAACCAACATGCTCAAAACGGTCACCCTTTGCGCCCTGCTCGCCATTGGAGTCTTCGCCTCGGCGAAATTCGAAGAAGAAGAGAGTGTTATCGTTCTCACAAAGGTTTGTTGTTGATTTCAAGTTTTTGAGCTAACGTTTCTAGACCATCTTTAGCTTATTGAATGCTTTTTCATTTAGGACAACTTCGATGATGTCGTAGAGAACACCGAGTTCGTGCTCGTCGAATTCTACGCTCCATGGTGCGGACACTGCAAGTCTCTCGCTCCCGAATACGCCAAGGTATTGCTTAAACTTATTGTTGGCTTAAAATCTAGTTGTTAAGATTTATCATTAAGCTGGTTACTGTAGATCAAGTAAAGTTGAGCGAAAATATGACTTTGAAAGTGTTAGTTTAGTTAAAGTTGATTTGATACGATTTACTTTTTAGCTTTGACTAAATGCACGATTTAAGACTTTAACCTTTCTAAAGGATAAAGGTTAAATCACCTCAAACCAACTTTAGCTAAATGAACCAATAGATAAGAAGAGCATAATATTGTATTGGTGCCAACTAAAGTTGGAAATATGTTCTGATCATCTCCAACTCTAACTTTTCTTTTAGGCCGCCACTCAATTGAAGGACGAGGGATCCGCCATCAGACTTGGAAAATTGGACGCCACCGTGCACGGAGATGTCGCCTCGAAGTTCGAAGTCCGCGGCTACCCAACACTCAAGCTCTTCCGCAACGGCAAAGCCACCGAATACGGAGGCGGACGTGACTCTGCTTCGATCATTGGATGGCTCAAGAAGAAGACCGGACCAGTTGCCAAGACCCTTGCCTCGGCTGATGAGTTGAAGGACTTGACCGACTCCGCTGACGTCGTTGTTGTTGGATACTTCAAGGTCATTTTTTTATATTGACTTATAGATTTTTGCCACTAAACGTTCTACATTTGATTGAGTTAAAGCTTTTTCAAATTTGATTTTGATTTAGGCTGCCGATAACGAGAAGGCCAAGGCTTTCCTCGAGGTTGCTGCCGGAATCGATGATGTGCCATTCGGAATCTCTACTGATGACTCTGTCAAGAAGGAGCTCGAGCTGAAGGGTGAGGGAGTCGTTCTCCTCAAGAAATTCGACGATGGAAAGGCTGTCTTTGATGAGGAGGTACTGCTCTTTGTTCCAGTAATATGAAACGCTTGTTATTGATTCAAGAATAACTTTTATTTTTTTTTAGTTGAAGGCCGACACACTCAAGAGCTGGATCCAAGCCAACCGCCTCCCACTCGTCTCTGAATTCACTCAAGAAACTGCTTCAGTCATCTTCGGAGGAGAAATCAAATCGCACAACTTGCTCTTCATCTCCAAGGAATCGTCCGAGTTCGAGAAGACCGAGGGAGAGTTCAAGGCTGCCGCCAAGCAATTCCAGGGCAAGGTAAGAAATATTTTATGATGTTTTAGTCTACTTATTTAGTAATTAATAAGACCAAATGAACATACATTTCTATGTTTGAAATAAATTAACAGTGAAGTAGTTGCGATGATTTAAACAGGCACATTCATACTCTTTATTTTAGGTTCTCTTCGTGTACATCAACACCGATGTTGAGGACAACGCTCGTATCATGGAGTTCTTCGGACTCAAGAAGGATGAGCTCCCAGCCGTCCGAATCATCTCGTTGGAAGAAGACATGACCAAGTACAAGCCAGACTTCGTGGAACTCACCACCGAGAACTTTGTCAAGTTCACCCAATCGTACTTGGACGGATCATTGAAGGCTCACTTGATGTCGGAGGAGATCCCCGAGGATTGGGACAAGTCGCCAGTCAAGGTATGCATATATTTAATTTGATTAGAATAGATTATTCTAGACATTGACGAGTTAAGTTCTGCAAATTTTAATCAATTTAAACACTAACTTTGGATCTTTAGGTGCTCGTCGGAAAGAACTTTGATCAAGTCGCCCGTGACAACACCAAGAATGTGCTCGTCGAGTTCTATGCCCCATGGTTCGTATTTAAATTGGATATTTATTTAAGTTCAAATCTTAACTTGCACATGATAAACTCAAATACTGTAACTATAATACATATGCATAAATTTAACTTTAGGTGCGGACACTGCAAGCAATTGGTGCCAACTTGGGACAAACTTGGAGAGAAATACGCTGATCATGAGAACATTGTCATCGCCAAGATGGACTCCACTGTCAACGAGGTAACGTTTTGTTTTTAAAGCAAATCAATATCATAGATTAAGGATACTGAAAGAAAGAGAGTACTTGAGCAATCACTATCGTGAAACATTTATTAATTGACCTTGTTTAGATTGAGGATGTGAAGGTCCAATCCTTCCCCACGATCAAGTTCTTCCCAGCCGGCTCAAACAAAGTTGTCGACTACACTGGTGACCGAACTCTCGAAGGATTCTCCAAATTCCTCGAATCGGGTGGCAAGGCCGGAGCTGGAGACGCCGAGGAGGAAGCAGATGATGAAGAGGCTGAGGGAAAACACACCGAACTCTAAACCCCATTCGTATTTGTTGATTCCATAAGCCCCTCTAGCTATTCATGGACTTGTCAAATTTTCTGTGATGTGTGCTCCATATGTGTATCTTTTCCCGATCACATTTCCATCGAGGTGTGCTATCGTTTTTCTTTTGTTACGGGGTTTTTCTCTGATATTTTCTTCCTTTTGTAACCCCATAGCCTAAGCGTGCTCCCTCACTTCTCAATGATCGCCCCTAACGGGTCTTCTAGCTGTGTATCTTCTTGTGTGTTGGGCTAATTGGGTAGTTTCTTGTGAGGTATTTATTTTTTCTGCAAGTAAGACCCCACACTTTTCTGTTTGTTTCATAAACGGTTGCCTTCTAAATTGTTATTTTTCTGGAAATTATAATTTATTGTTGAGCCGATATGATGAAAAAGTTTTGGCCAAACCGAACAAAATGAAAAAGCAATGACAATACAAACTGCAATGAATGAATGCGTAGGCACAATGGAATGAGGTCATGGTGAATTAAAGAAGGATTAAACAACGATACGATGGAATTAATGATGGCAGTAATATGAAGTCTAACAAACGTACAGCTTCTGTTTTAAAGAGGATTCATCGTAACAAAAGATTAGATCTCTGAAAGAAAGGATTTCTTTAGAAGGGGAAAAATTATTAAGTGTTATACGGTACTTCTCTTGGAGTAAACTTATCATGAATCAAGTTCTGGAATGGAAGGAAGACATTTGTTTTCGAGCTACAACACTTCTGAGTACCACTAGAATGTACTCTAGCAATCTAGCAAAGTAGAATCGAGAAGAGTAGTAGCATACTTGGTTTTACAAAATTACGAAAGCTTCACACTGAGAGACTAGAGAGAAAGTAAAGTCTGAGAATCAAATCCTTTAAACGGCGTGCTCCTGTCGCTGTTGAGTGTGCGTCGTGGTTGTAGTACGATAAACGTCCTGAAATTACAGTTTTTCGAAGCTACATATAATGCTTAAAATAGGTTCCTCGACGTTTTTTTTTTGTTTTAAAACACAGCTTTTTAGTGGAGCCAGAACTATTTGACGGGCTCTAGTGCTTAAATTTGCTTTCCGATTTTCTCATTGTGATACGGACGTGTAAATGCAATTCAAGAATGTTCATGCAAAAAGCAAAGTGTTTTATAGCCCCGCTCACATCTCACAAGTAGTGTAGTGTACCCGATAATCCTTTTTTTCTCAAAACTTTCTCTCACTCACATCATGTCCCCGATCGATCAATGGCTGTCTAGCCGGTGATGACCATTCGTTATCCGAATCTCTTCTCGCCGTTGTCCCACTATTGTAGGCGGTGTGTCCGTTTGTTGTGCCTGTCGTGGTGGCTGGTGGCTTGTAGACGGATGGTGCTTGATCGTATTCCTCTTGTTCACGATTGCGGAGACTGGAATTATGTTTTTGGTGATATTTTTGATTATCTTTGACATCTTTGGCTATACTGAGCGATCAATGAAACGCCTATGAATATATGAAACGTTTTTCTCTCTTTGTTATTTCTATTTGCCTTTGCCTTTGCCTTTGCATTTGCCTTTGCCATACAATTAATACATTACAGTATTCAAACTCTTTTTTTCTAAACACTGCGAACTCTCACATGATGTAAGCGATGATGAGGCAGAGGATGAGCAACAAGGCCAATCCCAGCAAAACTCCCAGCACGATTGTCCACGTTCGGTAGGCGTGTTTGACCAAATTCTGGAAAAAACAGTTATTTAACAGCCAGGGACTGAATTCTATCTAACACCAGCCGAAAAATCCTCTTAACACCAGGTTTTTCTGGTGTTAAGAGGATCTCCTTCCTCTTCCTCTACAATCGCCTTTGTGTCAAAGTGGCGCGGTCGTGGGCGCGCTTGTCTACGACCCACACCGTCCCGGTTCGATTCCCGGCTCTTCCACCCCACTTTTATTCTTTAATTTTTAAAATGTTACAACTACAATAGATTCTAAGGTTTTCTAAAGAAGTTTAGCTTTAATAGTCAAAACAAGGCCGAGGAAATGCCTGTGCAGACAGACAGGCAGACAGACAATGCTCTTTTATATATGTAACATTCGATCTAGACTGATTCTGGATCGGATTCTGGATCGGACGTTTGATTTAGAGTGAAGTGAGGTCAAGCGTTCGATCTAGAATCAAGCCGATCACTCTAAATCAGACGTCCAATCAAGACTTAGATTTAGAGTGATCGGCTTGATACTAGATCGGACGTTTAATCTCACTTCACTCTAGATTGGACGGATTTCTAGATTGGACGTAACATATACAGTAGATAGGATTTCATGATAAAGCTTCCAACTATATGAAACCACATGTACAGCGTTCAAATGTACGCTAGAATGGCTGACCACAGGTTGACTCATTTCTCCACTCACCCTGTCATCAATGGGTCCAGCATAGTCGGTGCACGTGTTGCTCGTCGTGTTGTAGTTCGAGCAAACTGTGCAGCTTTGCACCTGAAAGGCCAGGTCAGTCAATAAGTAGATCAGTCATATTAGATCAGTCATATTAGATCAGCCATATTAGATCAACCATATTAGATCAGCCTCTCCTTCCTCTACAATTTTAGCCTTCTCCTTCCTCTCCTTCCTACTCTACAAAAGCCAAACCATAGATCTTTCTGATATTTTTAGTATGATCTTTATTAAAAAGATTACTATTTTGTACTCAATCTGATGATTGGGCTTTGAGAAAGAGCCTTTAGAAATGATGAGATAAAGAACTTAAACTTTTTCACTATAACTTAAAACCCAGGCATCAGATAATAGACAAAAATTCATTTTAGATCCTTCAAAAATTCATAATTTACCCTAATCTATTCTGGATTCTAATAATTTGCCTAGAGAAATTGTTGTTTTTGATATTCAATCGATCAGAAAGATCAGATCGATCCCCACCTGTGATCTTCCGCTGTTGTATCGGCAGCTTTGAATCGTGCCGTCGTAGGAGCTTCTGCAAAAAAAAAGTGATCAAGTGTTTATCAAGCCTTTGATCAATTATGAACTGGGTCGTGAATTCGGGAAATATTTCCGTTTCACTTACTGGCAAAGGACAACATCCGAGTTCTGATTGCCGAGCGTTCCGCATTTCAAATCGCAATTCTTGCCCAAGTAACCCTGCTGACATTGGAGGGATAAATCGTAGGATAAACTGAAATGATTGATGATTTAGGTACGTTTTAAGAAGTTTTCCTTTAACTTTTGACCTAAAAACCTTCGATTAGAGAATTCTAGTCTCCTAGAAACTTTAGAAATAGCAAAACTCTAGTCCTGAGCTATCAGTCTAGTGGACTAGTGAGCTATCAATCTAGTCGACTAGTGAGCTATCAATCTAGTTGACTAGTGAGCTATCAATCTAGTCCACTAGTGAGCTATCAATCTAGTCGACTAGTAAGCTATCAATCTAGTTGACTAGTGAGCTATCAATCTAGTGGACTAGTGAACTTTTTTCGGAAACTTTGTTGTTAAATGTCTTTAGCTATTACAGTACAGCCATTACTGTGAAGATTTCTAAAATTTACGTGTTTCCTTGCTGAAGAGTGCTTCCAAGCTGAGTTGAAGAAACTCGACCGTTGCCCGAGGTTGGATCAATCTAAAAACACTCGTCTCCAGCAACCACGTTTAAAAATGGTGTTGATAACTACAGTAATTTAGAAATCGATAACATTCAATCAATAGAATCAATGAAATCGATCAATCAATCAATCAAATCGATCAATTGAATCAATAGAATCAATCAATCAATCAAACCAATCAATCAATCAATCAATCAACTCAATAAAATCAATCAATTGAATCAATTGAGTCAATAGAATCAATCAAATCAATCAATTGAATCAATAGAATCAATCAATCAATCAATCAACTCAATCAATTGAATCAATCAAACCAATCAAACCAATCAATCAAATCAATCAAAAAAAAAAAAAAAAAAAAAAAAAAAAAAAAAAAAAAAAAAAAAAAAAAAATAAAAAAAAAAACAACAATCAATCAATCAACTCAATCAACTCAATAAAATCGATGAATTCAATCAATTGAATCAACTCAATCAGATCAATCAGATCAATCAATCAATCACTCAATCTATCGAATACCTGCAACAATGGAATAGCAAAAGCGTCGACGAGTGTCAGCCGATTGTTGAAATAGAGCAATTGAGCGGTTTGTTTTCGGATGACCGCGCCGAGGTGTTGCACGAAGACATCGATTGCCGACTGAATGTGGGGAATTGAAAACCCGTTTATCTCCAGACTGTAGATTAGAGATGAGCGTTACAAACTACAAGATCAGATTTCAGACGCTTGTAGAAACGCGTAGAATGGTCGTTTTTAAAAACTGTTTTTACCAAAACATCGAGCCAACTTCGGGCTTTTGAATGGCATCAAGATATGCCCAAATTCACCATCGAGAACATACTATTTATAGCAGTTTGTAGTCCCACTACAGTTTGTTTGTAGTCTGTAGTCTGTAGTCTGTAGCCTAGGACTACAAGCATGGAAGAAACGTTATATTTCAGCGTAGAGATGATGGATTCGCCTGATTTTGGTGTCATTCAAAAGCCCAAAGTTGGCTCGATCTTTTGGCAAAAACAGTTTACAAAAATAGCCATTCTACGCGTTTCTACAAGCGTCTGAAGTCTGAGCTTGTAGTTTGTAGCGCTGTGCGGATGATGAATTCATTTACCGGCTTCGTTGGCACTTGCAGCGTGATCGCCGTCGTCCAATTGCCTTGGTTGATCGATTGGGAGAATGGATAGAAATCGCTTTGAATCATTTTCACCGTTTGGCTAAAATGCAAGGAAATAAAGCGAGTTTTGATGAGATTTGATTGGATTTTTAAATTTAGAGCCTCCTCTCTTCAGTACTGTTTTTAAAAACGCGAAAAAGCTATCGAAAGCTATCGAAAACTATCGAAAACATCGAAAACTCGTAAGTTTGTCTCTAATTCAACGAAATACATCTATTTTTGTATTTTTATCTTCCTTGAACCTTTAAAGTATCAGCAGATAGATTGAATGCATCAGATAGATTAAATAAAGTAAAGCCAACATCACTGTACACAGTAATTTGACACATTTTAGCCAGCTGACAGCTGAGGTTTGTTCGCTTCAGAGTGCAGCTTTGTTTAAACATGAAAACATAGCTTGTCTGGCGCACTGAGCTCTACATTTCTCTACATTTCCTCGCAATCTACAAATCTAGTGCGCCGTTTCAACAGCCATTTCAATATTTGAACCCAAAGCCAACTGGGATTCAATTTTGATACTCTAATGTCTTCAACTATCAAAATTTCTCTTGAAATTCCTTCACTAGGAAAGCGCATGGATTGCCCGCGAAGTTACGGCTAGTGACATAGCGCATTTTATTGGAAAAACTTAACTGATTCCGAATCTGCAATCAAAAACCACGAAAAGCTTTGTGAAAATCAGTTAAAAATGGCCTCAAAGTTGATGATTTTTGAAAGGTTTTTTGAATTTCTGGCACACCATTTGCGTCCAGCTTTTAATGCTCAATTACACCCTCTAACAAATCAATGGCAACATTGTTAATTGTCATATAAACTTAAATAATCATAAAATTATCATGCTTAAGAAAATTTGCAAAAAAAACAAAAAGAAAAGGCGGCACCCGGTATCGAACCAGGATTAAACCGGGCCGAGTGCAGGGACACTACCGACCACACCACCTAGTTGGTTGTTTGGAGTCGCGAGGAATCCATTTTAAGTCTGCGGACCCGATTTTTTGATAATTGCCAAAACTTCAAATGCGTTTTTACAAAGTTTAAAATATAGAAAAGTAAAAATAGAAAAACACTATAACTTTTCAAGGTGGTGTTTTGTAAATAGGTCATATACAGAATCGATCTAGGGATCGATTCCGAGTTCAAACAGTTCCCTTGAGCCTCGTAAGTGACTTGAGCCTCGTAAGTGACTTGAGCCTCGTAAGTGACTTGAGCCTCGTAAGTGACTTGAGCCTTGTAAGTGACTTGAGCCTTGTCTGTGTCTTGAGCCTTGTCTGTGTCTTGAGCCTCGTAAGTGACTTGAGCCTTGTAAGTGACTTGAGCCTTGTCTGTGTCTTGAGCCTTGTCTGTGTCTTGTGCCAATCAGTGCCCTGTAGCCTAGTGCTTAGTGTGGGCATCGATTAGTAAGGGTGTCATCATTTTTGACTTCCCTGCTTCGATACCGCTCACCGACAAACTTTTTTGTTAGTAAAATGATTAAAAACTATTTTCAAGACCCCTTCAAGACTTTTCAAGGCTTTCCTTTCAGGCTTTCAAGCTTTCAAGGCTTTCCTTTCAAGCTTTCAAGGCTTTTCAAGGCTAAAATTCTATTTGCTCATAGAAATCATGAAATAATTTGAAAGTTTAGAATAGCCAAAGAGTCGTTTTTGGGTTATTTATCGAAGAAATCATAAAATGCTAAAAATGCTTTTTGCAGTTTAGAGATACTGTTCAAAGCCTCAAAGCCTAGGTACTCATTATACATTTAATGTTATTTCTACGATTTCTATGAGTCAATCCATGCGTTTCCCTAGTCAGTTATTTTAGAATTCTTCCCCAAATACATATTTGTTTCGGCACAAGCAATCGATCGATTGGCTGGAGGAAAGGAGCGGAGTGCCATGCTATACAAATATTCTGTTCCCCAGTCTTTTCCCTTTTCTCCATTTCCCCTTTGAAGCTAGAGCTGACTCTTCTCGCCGTATATAGCCACAATCAGAAATTGAGAAGGAAAGAGAAAAAGAAAGAGAAAAGAAAGAGAAAAAGAAAGAGAATTTTGTCTTTCCTTTTCTTTTCTCTTTGAAATTCTTTCGATAAGATAGTGCGCTTCAATCGTTCAATTGAAAATCAGTGTTGGTGAGCTGTTTCTGGCAGAAACCGTGTTCAAAAATTTGCTTTTTTTTCATTCCAAACAATGCGTCATTGCTTGAAACATGATTCAAATTGAACTTCAAATAAACTAAAGTAAATTTGAGCTGAATTTTGAGTAAAAGGGAGTAAAAGCGATTAAGGGAAATCGCTTTAAACTTTCTAATAGCAAAATAGAATTGAACTGGTCAAAAAGCAAGGTCAATTGGTCAAAAAGCCAGGCCAACTGGTCAAAATGCCAGGTCAACTGGTCAAAAAGCAAGGTTACTACAAGGTTATGAAACAATTAATGGCTCCTTTCTTGAACAATTGAATGGATTTAGTGATTTCCTGGGGAAAAGTCTATACAAAATATTATAATGATAAACAAGATTTCAACTTTTGGCCTCACTGAGACTTTGAAGCTTTAAACTTTGAAACTTCCAATCGAAGTCTCCAATTCCAAAGTCTCCAATTCCGAAGTCTCCAATTCGTTAAGGGAAAGAAGAAAAAATACTGTTCTTACTGTCATGATCATATTCATTTTTCTGCGTCTTTTCAAAGCAACAAATTTAAAACAACAAATTCCAAAATGTTTCAGATTCTATTGCTAAATTAATCCATACCATTGGACTTATAAATTTCAGTTTATTTCGGATTCAAACAAATCGTAGTCGTAGCCGATTGTCGTAGCAAAAAAACCAAACCGACCGAAACGAAAACTGAGTTTAACGAATGACGAGAGTTGGTCAAAATAGTGCCCGCCAAAATAATGTGTTTGCGGTTAAGTTTATTTATGTTTTTCATCGGATATAGAAAAAAATTAGCTATCTCCTGAACATTTTAAGGCCGTTTAGAACAAATTTGAGTTGAGAAAAGGCCAAAAAAAACGAAAAAGGGCTTAAGAAAGAGGTTAACTGAGCTTTTCTCGACACTAATTCTGTTTTAAATGATCTCAAAGTAGATAATTTTATTCTAATAGGTTGATGCATAAGTGTTTTCGTTCCTTTTCGTCTGCCGTTTGAAGCCAACAAATGCACGAATTAAACTACGGTTGATTTCATTAGAAAAACGAATTATTTTTCTGCAAAATAACATTAAAACGGGTTTAAAAATATTGAATGCCTGGATTTTCTTGAGAGTATGAAGTCGGGTAGTCAAAAAGGGCTAACTCGATGATGCGGTTTAGACACCTTAGCTAAAGATAGCTAAAGAAAACCTATCTTCGTGTCAATAGATAAAAGATAGAGAAAAAAAACGTTTGATATTTCGCCAAAATTTCAGAGAAATTCATTCAGCCAATTTTTCCGTAGAGTTTTTTATAGATTTTTACGAAAAAGGCGTTTTTCACTCTCGAATTTGCTTCAAAGTGAACCGAAATTCATTTAAAAAGATGCAAATTCAACAAAAAAAACACTTTTTTTATAGAGCAAACTATAGATTAATTCGTGAATTTGTTACTTTTTAACAGAAGTACGAAAACAAACGAAAAGACTTATGCATCAACCTTCAACATTCAATCAGAATAAAAAACATATAGAAACTTAACCGCAGGGAGGCTATTTTTGCTGTGACGCTGTTTTGAGCAGCTATTGGATACAAGAGTAGATACACTCGACCATGTGCGAGTGTCGCCATGGCCGAGTGGTTAGCAGTCTTGGATCGGGTCACGAGTTCGATCTCAATTTGGGTTGTTCTTGCCATCTTGTCCCTTACGGTTCTCTTTTTAGGTTACGGGAGAGGCTGGGGGAGAGGCTGAGGCTGGGGGAGAGGCTGGGGGAGAGCCTGAGTGGAGGGGAAACTCACTCCGCTGACGAGATGACGACCATAAACGAGAACATGCAATTGTTCTGCTCATTTTGTCGAAGGAAATCACAATTGATTGTCGGACAAGCACAAGTTGTGTCCGCATCGAGGGAATTTTGTGGATTCGAGTATTGTCGGAGTTGGATTGTCACCAATGCACCAAGATCGGACGAATTTGTCTGGAAAGTTTCTGGTTTCAAAATAGCAAGTTAAAATAGCTAAAAGCTAAGATAGAAAGGCTAAAAAGGCAAGGGTAGAAGGTAAAGTTGAAAATTTGAGATTAAAATTGTCTGTGGGCCAAAATGGGCCAAAATGGGCCAAAAAAAGGCCAAAAACAAAACCTGTGGGCCAAAATTTATCGCAAAACCGAAGGGCTAGACTTGGGAAATTCGAAAAAGGCTTAAGATTTTGAAATCATTTTTGAAATGATGAAATCCCTAGTTCAGCTCTGTCTCTGGCTTCCATCAGAATCTATTCTTGAAGTTCTTCTCTTTAAACTAGTCATTAAAAAGGCTTAAACAATTCGGCTGGCATTCTCACCATTCTCAACGGATTCGTGCTCACTGCCGATCGGCTCATTTGTTGTCCATTCCCAAAAAATTGCGGATTTTGATTGTTCATATTTCCCTGTTGCTGATTTTGCATTCCATATTGTTGTTGTTGTTGTTGTTGTTGTTGTTGTTGTTGTTGTTGTTGTTGCGGTTGTTGATTAGGATTGTATTGATTTGATTGTTGTTGGTAGTTTTGCTGTGGTCTGAAAATGAATTTGATTATCCTTTTTTGTAGCTCTTTTTTCCTCTCTTCCCCTTTGTGTTTCCCTTTTTCTCTCCCCGGCCAAGCTAGCGGATGGCTCAGTGGTTAGAGGTTAAAGGTCGGCAAGCAGGGGGTCGAGGGTTCGATCCCCTTCACGGCTTTTTTCGGAAAATCCTTTTATTTTAAATCCAAAACCTCTATTTCATAGAATCAACCTCAGATTCGGATTTTGCTGATTCTGTTGGAGTTGTCTATTCTGCTGGAATTGATTGTTTTGATTGTTCGGGTACTGTTGTTGACCGGCTTGCTGTTGGTATGGACTCCTGAAAGTTCATTTCATTGAGCCAATCAGAATCAGCCAATCCTTTAAGCCCATTCATTAATCTATTTTCGAACGATAAAACATCAATTCATGAAAAAGTGACAAAAGTTATGCGTAGAATCGTCACAGTGACTTAACGATCAACTTTTCCACAAGAAGTACACGTATTGATGACACTTTTGCTAGAATGACACATAGAATAGCTTTAAAAATAGATGCCTTGCTTAGTAAGCAGAAGCTTATTGAGCCGCAGAAGCTTGCTTATTAAGCCGCAGACTTATTAAGCCGCAGAAGCTTATTAAGCTTTTGCTTTCACGTTTAATATGATTTATTATTGTTTTCTAGAAACTCATTTAACAATGAATACGCTCAAATTCGCTTTCACAGACCTCTGATTATTGTACTGTGCAGTGACGAGAAGAAATATTGCCGCGAGCGGAAGAATCCGCAACAACATTTTTGCTTTTTCTCAGGAATATGGATTTGAGTGTGTTGGGAATCTGGAATCTGGAAATTCTCAAAGTTAAAACTAAGCTACAAGAGCTAATGTCGAAAGCGACAAGAGCTAAGCTAAAACGAGAATCTTTCTCTAATAGAGTCAAAGAAAATGAAAAGAAAAGAAAAAGAAAAAGACAGAATCAATACAATTTGTAAGTTTGAAAAAAGCAAACTATAACAAATGAAAGGCACAGCAAAAAGCCTGATAGATTGTTATTCAAAAGTGATTTCAACTGGAAGAGATGAGTCAAGACTTTAGCCCAAAAAAGCGTGTGATTTTAAAATCCCACAACGTAACAAAGTCGATAACAAAAACTCGAAAATCGTGAGTCAATCGAGAAAATGCAAGACGATGTGTGCAGAAGAGAAGTGTTTAGGGAAATTGAAGAAGAGACAAGCCTTATCTTTGTATGAAATGGGTATGGAATCGAAAAGGAAAGAAGAAGAAGAAGGAGAAGAAGGAGAAGAAGAAGAAGAAGAAGAAGGAGAAGAAGAAGAAGAAGAAGAAGAGGAAGCAGAAGAAGGCAGAGATGGCGGTGGGCGGGGATGAGTCATGAGAAGAGAGTCACACACAACGATAATCACTGATATGAGCAATCTGTGGAAGAGGAAGAGGAAAGAAGACCGAAATTGTATAACAGAGCTGAACTGGAACGAATTTCGATGTTATAGAATAGCAAATATGATTGTGGAACATTTGAAACACGCTCCGCCCTTTTGCCGTTGGCAATCTAATTTTGAGCTCAAATTTCTTGGTGCTGAGCGGTCCAATTGAAATAGTTTTTGTACCAATCGATAGAGAAAGATTTGGTGGATCTAATGATACCAAGAATATTTAAATTGGACGCACCAACACCAAGAAACTTGAGCTCAAAGTTGGCTTGCCAATGGCGAAAGGGACGGGGCACGTATGTTCGATAATCAACAAATATTGAAGTAAGAAAGTCGCTTTGCAACCAGAAACCCTTCATAACAGGGTACAGGCCAGGGCCAGGCCGACCCTAACTCGTTTTTAGGCTTGGCTTTGGTCTGACCATGGATATACCGTTGGCCTAAGCTGGAGGCCTGGCTTTACTTGACCTAGCCCCTAGGTTTATAATAAAGTAAGGCGTTCTAGAAACTGAGATCTGTACGGTCAAAGATGGGCATGGAAATCGTATTTACCGATACCCCATTGCTTGAAAAGCACCCTTTAAAGCTTATCTTCGAAAACCCTCGTGAGCTTGCATAATGCAGAAGAACAGGCTTTGTCACCAGTCACCAAAAAGCTGCCGCAATCTAATAACAGACCAGAAATACCTTGCCGTACACAATGGCAGGTGGTCGAGGTGGTTAGCGTCCCGTCTACAAATCGACTGTCCCAAAGGAGTGCCGGGTTCGACCCCCGTCCGCTCCAAACTTTTTTACTTTTCAGGCAAATTTGAGTTGCCCCTTTAGCTCAAGGGATCAAGCTATGCGTTAGCCGCAAAGCAGTCAAAGGACTAGCCATTCGGCGAAAAGAAAGACCGAAAAGAAAGAAAAGAAGAAAAGAAAGAAAAGATAGAAAAGAAAGAAAAGATAGAAAAGAAAGAAAAAAAGTACACCTAAAAACTTTATTGATTACTTTATTGATCAATAAAGTGAATGATTCATTCAAAGAGCCAATAACCAATAAGAATTGGAAAAATGGTGAACCATATTGGCCATTTTTAAAGAATGTCCATGAAATGTCGATGAAAAACAATGAGTAACAAGGAAATGGATTGATCAATGGTCAAAAAAAAGACAACAGTTCAAGAGTATAACAATTGTTGCCAAGTGGGTTTCGAAGAGAAAGACGAAAAGAAAGACTCTCATACACCAAAAAAGGGAGAAAAGTGGGTAAACAGAATGTCTCACCTTGTTTTGTGTCACCACAAAAAAGGGATAGCTTTGAATGATGATTGAAAAGTGTTCAAAGAATGATTGAATGGTTGTTCAATCATTGAAAAGTGTTCAAAGAAATCGATTAAACTTTAGAAGGAATAGGCGAATCATTGTAAAAATCAAAGCTCGAAGCAATAAAGTGAAAGATTTCTGCTAAAGTTGATGCTGATGCTGAATTTGAAGAATTTGACTCTCTGATTGGCTTTTTGAACTAAAAGTGCTCAAGATTTGGAAAAAAAAGCTACATTAAATCTAAATTCTTGATTCAAAGCTTGATTTAAATCGATTTACTTACTGAAAATCGATCATTACTGAAAATTCCGGCAACGCATTGCTCTAGAATTGACTGGGGGTTTTAAAGGGTCACTCAATGGCTTTGAAAAACTTCTAACTTCGTTGAAAAACTTTAAATTCGTATACCGCAGTATACCGTCTTTTCTCTAATTGTCGTGCTCTCCTCCCCCGGACCTCTCCTTCTCCCTCGGCATTTTTCGACCCCGAACTGGTGAAATAGCTGAGAACTTTGATTTGAGATTTACTTATCTTATTATCTGGATACTGTAATGATACTTTAGTGAGACAGGATGAGTATAAATTTTCTTTTTTATAGGAAATAAAAAACATACCGTATTCTCTCTAATACTAGTGCACCCCGGAGAGCCGAGTTGATGACTATTTTACAGTTCCCAAGCTTTTGCAGAAGCTCAACACTAAAATCCCCCACTAGATCTCATCTTCAGCTACATTTTCCGACCCCACATCGATAGGTTCTGATAAGCGGTTCTCGAGATTTCGAGCAATTTAGGAAGGCTCAGGATGATTGGTTTAGCCCCCCGACGCTCGACTTTAGAGAATCTTCCTTTTTCTCTTTTTCCCCCCCCCCCCCCCCTTCCCCCGGGCGGCGTTCTGGATTTGAGCAATTTAGGCGACGCTCCTGAGCCTACCATTAGAGAAAATACGGTAATTAGAAGACTAGAAAGCTAGGAAAGAAAGAAAGAAAGAAAAAAGAAAGAAAAAGAAAGAAAAGAAAGAAAAGGAAAGAAAAGGAAAGAAAAGAAAGAAAAAGAAACGCCAAAGCACTAGAAGATTCTCTAAAATCGATTCCCAAATGGAAATCAGCACAATCAATTTGCATGAATCATGCCCGAGAAGGCGAGTGACACACGAAAATTAGCGATTCAGAAACGAATCGCAAAAAAACAACTTTACGAAAGATCGGTATGCAAAGGAAAATTTCCAATCAGACAGATTTCCTTTTCCCCACATTTTCTCAAAGCTTTCTTTTCACAAAAAGGAAAAATGCCCGAGCAAGAGCCGACATTTTAGTCAGCAAAGGGAATAGTTCTGCCAAAAACGGAAATATTTCTAAATAGTAGTGAAGCTGGCTTGAAAAACTCACATTTTCATTGATTTTCTAATCGTTTTGTATGCTGTGCATTGGGAAATGATAAAAAAAACTCTAGATTTGGCTTAGAGATGTTCTAGATGTTCTAGAGATGTTCTAGAGATGTTCTAGATGTTCTAGAGATGTTCTAGATGTTCTAGAGATGTTCTAGATCTTCTAGAGATGTTCTAGAGATGTTGTAGATGTTCTAGAGATGTTCTAGATGTTCTAGATGTTTTAGAGATGTTCTAGATGTTCTAGAGATGTTCTAGAGATGTTCTAGATCTTCTAGAGATGTTCTAGATCTTCTAGAGATGTTCTAGAGATGTTCTAGATGTTCTAGATGTTTTAGAGATGTTCTAGATCTTCTAGAACAAGCCAAGATCTGACTTTCTGGCTGGCTTTGACCAAAAAATGATTTTACCAATCGAATCTGGCTTATTCAGCAATATTCTATTGCAATACTTGGGTGACTTTTAAATGTAGATTTTTAGCCACTGAAACACAATTAGCATCTTGCCATGCATTGGATTATGAAAATAGCTTGGGGTTCAATGGATGAATTTCATTTTGAGTTTGAATTTCAATATTGTTAAGCAATACCTTAGTAAGAATTGAATGTTAGCTTTGAAGTTAGCTAGAAAATAAGACACAAATCAAAAGTACAGCTAAAGTACAGCTAAAGTACAGCTACAAAATAATCAAATAAAGAAATGAATGGTAAAGAATTTGTTACCAGGGGGGAACCCGATCTTGAACACGATCTTCTGCTTTTTGAACCCGATCTTTCTACAGATCTAGAGCTACCACTGAGCTATTGGAGCCTTCTTTTCCCAAGAAATAGGAAAGACAAGGAAGAGGAGGAAAGGAAGAGGAAGAAAGGAAGAGGAAGAAAGGGAGAGATGGATAAGCCTATTTTAACTTAAAGCTCTTATAGCCAGAGATGTGTCAACTAGACTCTAGAAGGCTCTAGCCTAGCTAGGGCTGGCTCCCTAGCTAGAGGCTGGCTCTAGCCTTCCAGCTCAGAATCCAGGAAAGGTTCTTCTTGGGGACTTCTTGTAAACCAGATCTGAAGCTGAACGAGGCAAGGCAAGGCAAGCCAGCCAGCCAAGGCAAGCCAGCCAAGGGCAAGCCAGCCAAGGCAGGCCAGCCATACCATGTCTGATCTTGAAAAGCTTTTAGAACAATCCTGGAATAGAAGAACAATAATTGTAAAACAATCCTGGAACCTAGATTTAATTCCCAACTTTTGGAACTGGTTTTAGAAGTGGTTGGAACTGGCTTTAGAAGTGGTTCTAGGTTTTAGAAGTGGTTGGAACTGGTTTTAGAAGTGGTTCTAGGTTTTAGAAGTGGTTGGAACTGGTTTTAGAAGTGGTTCGGTAAATCAAAAGTCCTTGCATCAACGATCTTCAAACAATCAAATAGAAAGAGAAATCAAAAACCACGAAACTGCAGAGATTTAAAGCGGCAAGTCAACAAAAATATTTATTTGAAAAAGAAGCAAAACGGGGAAAAGGATCGCTTTTTATTGTGTTGTTTATGAGTGATCTGTTTGTGAGGAAAAGAGAATGGGGAATCGATGGCTGATATCAGAATGGAGGGAGTGGAAGGAGTGGAGGGAGAAGAGCCATTCAAACAGCTCCCCTCACTTCATTGATAAGCTCCAATATACAACTTTGGCTTGTCCCTGGCTAGGGTTCTAAATAATTGCAAATATTGAGGGGGAAATTGTGAGTCAGAGGTTTTCTTGTTTGAAAAAAGGCTTGCCTGTTTGGAGTTGGAGGTTTGGAGGCTTGCCAGTGGGGAAAGTTGCAAAAGCAGGGGCCTGAAGCTATTTGGACAAGTTTTAGCTGGAGGAACTTGTAGTTTAGCTAGAAGAACTTGTAGTTTAGCTAGACGACAAGACTTGTACTCAAACAAATCTATTTCGAAAAAGATCGGATATCTAACTCTTTCAAGATCAACTTTCAAAACAAAATAGAGACTTTGCTGGATCTGATTTAGCTTTGCTAATGGCTTGGCTAAGCTCTGGAGGCTCTGAAAGCTCTGAAGGCTCTGAAAGCTTTGAAAGCTCTGAAAGCTCTGAAGGCTCTGAAGGCTCTGAAGACTCTGAAGGCTCTGAAAGCTCTGAAAGCTCTGAAAGCTCTGAAAGCTCTGAAGGCTCTGAAGGCTCTGAAGGCTCTGAAGACTCTGAAGGCTCTGAAAGCTCTGAAAAGCCACTAGAGCCAGTCAGAAACCAAGTCTGAAGTTGGCTAGCTTAGCATGGTTTTCAAAAAATCCATCTATTCACACGAATGGTACAAAACAATACACAAGCACAATCCCTAAGCCCTAAATGTCGGGAAAGAAAAACCCATATCTATGGAAAGAAAAGAACTAATTGCCTCCGGGATTGAACCTTTGAAGAAAAGCCTTCGAGATTGAACCCTTGACCTCCTGACTAAGATATCGGGCTCTTTGTCAGTCACAAGCAAGCGCTGAAAGCAAGCAAGCTCTAAAAAACACACTTCACAAATTTGCCTGTCATCCTTGCGGCCCTACTCATCATCTCTGTTTATCCGAATTTTAGTAGATGTTCATAAAAGCTTTTCTTAACAATTTTTAATAAAGAAAAACAGCCAAATGACCGATTCGATGTAGATGTCGACTAGCGCTCATTCAAGTGCTTGGAAAATGATTTGTAGAAGTCCAATCGGGAAACTTTTATTAAATAAATGTAGCCAAGATTCAGGGCTTCAATATTTCATATAACACTTAACACATTCGGGTTGAATTTTGAAGCTAATCTATCAAAAGAAGTCGTCCAAAAATACTGAACTTGAATTTGATTCGGTTCCGGTTAGTTAGTATTGACGATAGTATCGATTTCATCGAAACGATTTCTAGCCTCGTATAGCGAAAACGCGAAAGAAATCTCATCACTTTCGACTGCTAAAATTGAAAGAATGACTCATTGAGGTGAGTGTTCTGATTTCATTCAATTCATTCAACGAATTCAATCCCTTCTCAACTATTCCCCACGCATTGATGACAATTTCGCGGTTTACAATTTCGTGGTGGGGTAATTCTGATGCAAAAGAAGCTCTCCATTGACTCAAATAGTCTGATTTGGTGAGCTAAAAGTTCTAAAAACCTATTCAAAAAAGGATAAAGCGATTTTTTTTTAAAGCTCATCTTTTCCAAACTCGTTATTCAGTCTATTTTTGAGCTAAACCCAGTAAGATTTGTGTCATTTTTGTGTCATTTTTGAAAGCATTTTTCAAATAGATAAATCCAAAGGCAAAGTTTAATGAAAAAGAAGGAAATTTGGCAATTGTTGAATTGAAATAGGAATAAGCAGAGGATGAATTGAAATAGCAATGAGTCATGAGAACAATGAGACGGCAATGAGCAATGAGACGTCATAGCAATGAGCGGCAGTCATGAGCTCAAGAGAAAGTCAAAGAAAGAGTGAAAGAGTGAAATTATGAAAGAAATTGGTAAACACTTGTCAAATTAACACTCAAAAACATGAACACTTTAAAAGAATGTGCTGAATTCCTTTTTGACCCTTCACATCTCCAAAAGAAATGCCTATCGAAAGAGGTGTCTCTAATCTGTTTGCCTATTTGTCTTTGTTTGTCGTGTGCCCATTCCCCGATCCATTCCTCGATCTATTCCCCAATCCAATCCCCTTTTCCTTTCATCCACCTTTCTATCTTTGATCAGACCCATAAATTTTCCCTTTCCATCTCTCTTTTCTTTCTTTCTTTTCTTTTCCCATTCTTACAATTATTTATTTGATTTGCATCTCCACACAACTCATCTTTACTAGCTCGACGATAATAAACAAGTGGAATTGGAAAGAAAAGTAGATTTCAGGAGAGAGAATTGAACCCTCGACTCTTGATTGAATCCTTTTGCCTTGAGCAATTGCTCTAACCATTGGGGTATCCGGTCCCTTAACTTGTCAAGAGAAAGAGGGAGAGACAAGGTGGAAGAAGGAAGAAAGGAAGGAAGAAAGGAAGGAAGAAAGGAAGGAAGAAAGGAAGGAAGAAAGGAAGGAAGAAAGGAAGGAAGAAAGGAAGGAAGAAAGGAAGGAAGAAAGGAAGGAAGTCTCAAATATCATATTTCATTGTCCAGTACTGTAAATCTAAACCTAAATCAAAACCTAAATCGAAACCTAACCCTAAACCCAAACCTTTTCAAGTTTTCCTTTTCGTAAACTAAAAGGGAAACTCTTTAAATTCTTTGTCACATGTACAAATCATTGTTACTGATCGATATTGATCGATTCACATCACACACACACACACACAATCGTTTTCTTCAAGCACAAGTCATTTCATAAAGAACTAGCACACCAAAGTTTATTTCGACTTTTTTTTTGACACCGCAAAACGGATTAATAGTTGTTAAAACAAAGTTTTGTTAATTCTTTTTGTATAGATACTTTTATTCGCTTAATATTTCATCAAAAATCCGATTGAATCTGGAGATTTGGTGAAGAGAATTACTTAAAAAAAACTGTCTTAAAAAAAGAAGCTTAAAAAAGACATTGTTGTTGTCATAGTTTCGAGGAGAGAAATCATTTTATCGACAAATGATAAAACCATATAAAAAAAGGGGTAGATCTAGAGTGTTTTGCAAAATAAAAGTTGGGCATAAATTCAGGGTAAAGATTTTTGTGCGAGAGGAGCTGTAAGGATTAAGCTGTAAGCTGATTAAGCTTGAACAGAAAGGGGATTAAGCTGTAATCACAACCGGCATCAAGAAAGTCAAAGTGTTAGATCTATCTATCAATGATTCATCGTCGCAATGAAAATGATTAAAAAAGAATAAATTAATATCAAAAAAGAATATCAAAGAATATCAAAGAAGTGTGTTCTTAGGCAACTTTTACATGATAAAGCTGTTTAGCTTATGTACAGTCAGCTGATCAGTCAGCTGATCATTGAGCTCTTCACAGCTTGTCATTCTCGGGATCGTGTTTTTCTGAAAACCTTTGAATATCTTGATTACAGGCACCTTTTATAGTAAGATCTTCAATCGACAAATTAAATCGATCTTCAATCGATTTAAAATATCAGCCTTCAATAGATTTGGGAACTAAAAAAGATTGATACGTCGATTTTAAAGATCTAAAAATATCGATACCTCGATCTAAAGTTTTCCACGCTTCCTTCTAACCTTTCTATTCTAACCACGCTTCCTGTCTCCTCTCAAACACGCTCAAAACTATCGTCATCCCACTTCATCAGTATTCTCTAAAGCGTGCCCCGACTACAGTAATCACGCTTAACTTCTATCATTGCATTTTTAGCTCTAAACTTTGCCTTTCCGCATAATATGTCTTAATTACTTGATGCTAATGTCCTTACAGGTTGGCTTGCCTTGGCTACGGTAACATCGATTCCGTTAATCAGAGCAACTAGTTGAAAAGAAGCTAGTTGAAGTTGAAGGCAAGTTGAAGCTTAGAATAAAAGTTTTGTCAAAAAGGAATCGAACTCGAGCAATAAACGCGGTGCTTGTTTCGTATGCAAGCGTTTTATCCACTAAACGATCAAGTCAAATTTGGGACCCGTGAGAGAACCCTATTCGGCATTATAAAGGCATCCCTATTCGGCTTAAAACTTTCGCATTTTCACCCTAAAACTTAAACACGTATAGCTTTTTATAGAAAGCGCACTCGCAAAAACGGAAAACACATTCAGAATCAGCGTGAAATTCTGCGTCGAATGGCTTGGCTTATCTCATTTGGCCATATCCTACTGTTGCTTTTCCCTTTGACCACATCCTACTGTTGCTTTAGTCACACGACTCACCGTTTGTTGTTTTCCCTTGCATATTCAACCAATCGGCCATCTCCGCTGCTTCCCTTTCACTAACGGACAACGATCGATCACCGGCTGCTTGTCGAATTCCCACCGAGGCTTGCGGTTCAGCATTGGCTCGGTAAGCTCTAAAACTTGGTGATTAACCAGTCTAGTTTAAATCTTGCTAAATCCATCACAACTCACTCTTCAATCACTGATGGTTGGTTGGTGGTTGAGGAGAGTTCTGAAAATGGAGGCCTTTAGATTAGGGATTTTTGATTGACTAGACTAACTTTCAACTTTCAACTCACTCAAAGCTTCCAATTGGTCGGCAACAGTTTGAGGAGCAGAAGGGACTTGCACATCGATCAACTCAACACTGCTCCCTCTTGGAGTCGGCTGCGTCGGACTGAAATTGTAGTTTCTTGGGCCTGCAATTAAATACGCTATTCACAATCATAATAGACATGAATGGGATTCTGATTTGGATCAGATCAGATCATCTTCATTATAGATTTAAACTTATCTGACCAGATATCCGATAAACTTTCATAGGAAAAATAAGGCCCAAAAATTGATTCACTACTATGTTACTAAACTTTTTGATAAGAAACCCTTAACAGTAAAATGCCACAAACAATTTTAGACCTTGAGCAGTCGGTGAATGACACCAGTGATTACCGTAAATACTTTAATATGTAGAAGCCCCGTATAGAAGCGTCGCGTAGTCGAAGTTTACTCTCAAACAAACGCTCATATCTCGACACCAGTACGCTTGTTTCTACGGGTTTTGGTATCAAATTAAAGTAGAGAATGGGTGATTTTTTTTAAACTATTAGATATATTTTTAGCATTAACCAGAGCTTAGAACAAAATGATTGAAAAATGATGAAAAATCGGCTTTTTTGCCACTTTTCAATCATTTTTTTTCTAAGCGCTCGTTAATGCTAAAATATTTGTTATATCTCAAAAAATCACCCATCCTTTTTACTTTAATTTGATACCCAAGCGTGCAGAAACAAACGTACTGGTGTAGAGATATGAGTGTTTGTTTGAAAGTAAACTTAGATTGCGCGACGCTTCTATAGGGGGCTTCTATTAGAGTATTTGCAGTAGGAAGTTTTGCTATTTCTGGAACTGGTTCACATTGTTAATTACCATTTATCATTTTGTTATTGTAAATTTCTGCATGTTTCAATTCAATACAGAAGCGTAACATCCATAAACACTCACCGGTTGCTCTGCATCTTTGTTCGACATGAAACGCTCGTATTTCTCAAATGCGCTGTTGAATTCGTCGTTCAACACGAGAAGCTCATCTGGAAAAATTTTCAATCTTTAGTTTCAACAGGGTTCAATCTGGACATATTATCTTTGTTATCTAAACTCACGTGTCACTTCATCATTCGACACTTGTCCAATCAATTCCAACACCCTTTGTTGCATTTGTCGACACGCTTGATTCAACTCCAGGATCAATTGCAATTCGTCTTGGGTAACTTTATTTGGGACAATCTCTGTGAGCATCTCTCGGAAAACCTAAAAACGTCCAGATTCAACCTAGTACATAGAACCTAGCTAAGCTCAACGATAATCGAAGTGTTACTAGGTCAAGATTTGTAATGAAAACTGTTCAAAAAACACACCTTCAAATTCGAGTTCACCATATCGATATCATTCCTCAGTTTCACCAATTGTTCGGAATTTGCTTGAACAGGCGTCTCAGAGACAGGAGCGACTTGGTAGGTCTAGAAAAGAGTCGTTTGAAAAGTCTAGACTCTTTATCGACTATTGCATTGAAAGTTTTTCATTTTCAAACTGAACTAACTACTTTAAACTTCAAATGAAACTTTACACAGCTTTGATAAAATTCCGTTTAAAGTTACTAAATCTTTCTAGTTCTTTAAAAAACTATTCACTCAACAAACACTACAGTACAAACAAAAGCTAACTGAAAGGAAACTAAAAGGAAATTCAATCTTTTTTTGTGATTTACCGTCGCTTGTGGTTGAACCATCGGAGCTTGTGGTTGCTGTTGTGGTGGTGGTTCCGTAAACACAGTCTACAAACACAATACTACAGATTTACACACAAAACAAAACGATTTGCATATCAAAAATCGATGGAAAGTGCGTGATTTGATAGGTTTACGAAACACGATAGCATCTTCACAAAAATGATAACAAACTCAATAATTTTTAATTCAAACCCACTCGTTTTGGTGTGATGATCGGTGCAAGGGTGTCCAAATCGGTGGCCGGGAATTCAACACCCTTTGCTTTGAGATCTTCATACACTTGAGCGGCTCCTTGAAGATCGGGAGCATTTCGGAAAGCGTCAGCCCATGACTAAAAATAATTTTGCAAAATAATCATTTTCACTTGAAAAACTAAAGCTACAGTAAGCCTCTTTAGCAATCTATCAACAAAGGGGCTTAGTGTAACTTTAAGAGAATTTGCTTACGATAAAATGCTAGGTAATGAAACTTCATCATATCATTTCCTCCCACAAACCTGAATCAACGTCAACACTCGTTCCTGGATAATCTGTGGTGCATCGAATTTCGGTCCAATCAACTTCACCAAATCCAAAATGAAATCCTTTTGACAAACAAAATGATGAAATCGATGATCGCAATTCTATTATTGATTTGTTTAAGTTTCTTTTACTATTTCAAACCTTAACACATGTCTCCAAAACGGTCAACGTGTACATGACAATCGTATTATTTTTGCCCATTTGACTGTGAAGTCGTTTTCGAATAGCTCGGATTGCATCCTTTGGACTAAAATGTTTTGGTTTATTCTAAAAATCAGCTGCTCATTTTTTTCTTACCCATCTTCATATCCATTGATGAAATCACAAATCTCCATATTCAGACCCCAATTTTCGGTGGCCAACAAATTAGAGTCGGTGGCAAGTTCTGCAAGGTTTATAACTAATTTCTAATGAATTTTAATAAATCTAGGTAGCAATAATATAGCATTATTTGTCAGTTACAGTTGTCAGAACAAAATATCCAATCGATACGACTGTTAGCTTTTAAATTATTTAGCTTCGAATACCATCCGCCATATTGCCGCGGGACAAAAGACCAAAAAGCTATTCCGATTTCAACAAACCTATTTTCTTGCCAACCGGTGTCGCGAACGGGTTTCCTTGGAAGAAATCGGAGACCTGTTCCCCCACCTAAACATTTAATTTATCACTTTAAACACTCCAATACGTATTTAGTGCCCAAAGTAATATTTTCAATACAAAAACACTTTAAACTACTCTTACGAAACTCACATTCTGTGCCACTTCTTTCGCCGATCCGACCACTTGAGAGACCTGCTCTTTCACGTTCGACATTTAATCTGAACTTTTTTTTATAAAATTTATCCAAAAAACCCAATTTGACATGGCACAAACTCTGAAAAAATGATCACAACTCTAGAAAAGGCACTCCCTAAAAAGCCCGAAAACTGCATGAGCAAATATAAAAATTTCACATGTGAAAACAACCCGAAATTACGAAAAATGGGAATAGAGCCTACTCATCGAAACACACAGAAAATTTACAATGGAGAGGTAGAAAAAAAACCAAAAAATAGGGTTAAAAGTCGATGGGATGAAAAGAGGTGAAAAGGGGAAAGCGGGGTTGTTTGCGAAATTTTGTGTCCAGAAAGCACCGATTCTTTTCCCTCTTTCTCTGTGCACATGACACACGCCATCCACGCAGAGTGAAAAGGGATGGGGTAAATAAACCGACAAAAAATGACTGCTGACCCCAATTTTGCTGATTAAGCTAAATGTTTGATGGAGTAAAGCCATTAAATGGTATGATGAGTAGCTACATCACCACAAAATTGCCTAAAATTTCGATGATTCGTTACAGATTGATTACATTTCAGCTGTCTCCCGTCATTTAAACAATATTTCAAGCAAAAATTCGCAAACTACTTCCCCTATCTCACAACTTTTCAGAGATAGATGATTCACAGATTCCAACAGAGGTACACCAACAGACCAATACTACAGGAAGCTACACAGAACTAACACTACAAAGAACTAACAACTTTGACCTAAAAGTTTTTCAAAGTGTCTCAAAAATTAAACCAGTGTTTGATAATTTTCCAACGATCAGCTGGTGGCGTCCCAAAAATAGTTCATCTGCAACTTGGAATAGCGTTTTTCAGGTGAACCGACATCTCGGAATCGTGAATCCATCCAGTGATAATTGAACAAATCCAGAGCTTCACGAGCTTCCTCGTCCGTCAGTGTAATCATTTGCGGTTTTGGCTCAACAAAATCATTTGGAACCTTAATTTCCTTGAAAAGAATCGCAAATCGAAAAGCAAAGTGGCCTCCATAGATTGGATGAAGTGAGAGACCGATGAATTTGCAATTCGGTGCCATTTCCTGCGCTGATGGCCAAATTTCCGACGCAAAAGTCTTTGGCTGATAATAGTAAGCGGCTCCAGCCACGTGTCCACACGTGCACATCACGATTTTTGGACGTCTATTTGGCCACATGGAATGATCGTGAAAGACTTCATAGCTTTGTCCATTCAATTGATCTTCAACGGTTTTCAATCGATGGTTAAGGAAATCGGCGATTGGATTCTTTACATCTTCTGTCAATGACTCGAGTGTTTCACTTTTTTGTCGCTTGTTCGGAGATCCATTCTTTGAAAGCCACGTCAAACATGTTCGGAGTCGAGAGCACAAGAAGTCCGAGTGAATCCGGAATCGTAGGACAAGTAAAACTCTTTGGTGACCGAAGCATTGTAGGCGCCAATTCTGAAGGGGTAAACCTCGAATCCTTGCTCGGCTGGAAGCAACGATTGCACCTTCTGCCGAACTTCCTCGAAATCCATCCGGAATCGTTACCTGGAAAAAAAATAAATTGTTGTTGAGCAAAAATAAGTTTACATAAAAATAGAGAGACGTTCACAAGGTTGAGAGTGTTAAAAATGCTTGTTTACTTCAGAAATTTTAGAAATTTAGGCCATGTGTCGATAAAAATAGGTCACAAAGAAATGTAGAAAAGATGTCTAATAGCAAGAGGAATAAGATATGATAAGACGTTATTTTTGTGCTAAAAAGTCCAAAAAATTAAATTGGTCCATCATAAAACGATCGAATTTGACAATTCGATCGTTTTTAGGATGATAAATTTAAGCAAAAGCAGATATAAAATTAATAAAACATTACGAAAACAAAAAAAACCCGTAAAAAGTATTTTATAAGACTATAATTTTTGTTGGGAAAAAGCTTTAGTCGAACGAATTACGGATAGATGAACAAAAATAATTATTTCTGCGTGTTTTCAGTGTTGGGAAATGAGGGCAAAAGAGAGAAGAAAGAACGAATCGATGGATGGGCGAGCGCTCTCTTTCTCTTTTATAATTTCTTTCTTCCTTTTCCACCTCTTCACACTACACTGTTCACTTGCATTTAGTGTGAACATAAAAAGAGGAAATTGCTTGGGTTCGTAAAATAATATAGAAAATTGATTAGAAAAGGAGGTGATAAAGTTTTAAAACGCTACTAGAGAAGTGTCACAGGGAAAGGGAAACAAGCACACCCTAGAGGAAAGGCAAGCTGGATTGCTTGAAATGAAATATGGCTGCAAAGCAAGTTATTTATACCAAGCTTATCAAAAGGTTGAAATATTCAATTGAAAAGCTTAATGTTTGGCAAACAATTAATGAAGATATTGATGAGAAACACTACTTTTCATTTCTCACTTTACTCGCTCAATTTGTTTCATTAGAGGTGGGTTTGTTTGTTTGTAATGGCTTCATATCAAACTGAATGAATCGCCAGGATAGGTAAATGGAGTTGTTAGAGAAGCTTCTAAAAAAACAAACAAAAGAGAAAACTTTAAAGATTTTAAGTTATGGGTGGATTAATTTTGTTTTATTTTGTAAAGGGTCCACTTTTAGCGTTGTTTTTGATGTTTCTGATTTTAGGAGAATTCGTCGAGGCGAAATGTTGAATCAAGTGCTTCGAATATTCGACAAGTTTTTTTGCTTCCTCGGAGGGATCGCTTTTGGACTCGCCTGTCTCTACCTTACTTGCAAGGTTAATAGTTTTGTTTTTGTAGTGTGATTTTGTCTTTAAAGGAACAATTACTAGTCTACCTAAATGCGTTTATCAATTATAAGCAGCATGTAGTTGCTTTACTAAACTTTGCCAATTATGTAATTTTAATTTTCAGGTGCTTTACTTTCTCCACTTCTTGTACAGATGCATTTTGATCAATTGGAAGAGTTGATAGTGGATTCGAGAAGAGTTTTAATCTTTTTTTGAGGGCTTTGATTTAATTCTCTTTTAGAAGCTTGTCTTGGTGTGCACTCAAATGATTATGTGCATCACGAATGTGTCACTCGCACAATAACGTTTCGTCTGAAAGCAAGGATGCCTCGATAGTTTGGATAGCTTCTCTTGCTAAAAATTTAACTTTTCGATTTTTGTTACGGGCTCGTTTCTCAATTGGGAGACGTTGTTGCCGATGAAAAGAAAGATGATTCTGATGAGTGGGTGCTTCGTGTTCAAGTAACGATTGGACATCACAAGTGAGTGAGTTTGTGAATTTGTACGTAGCAATAATATCAAGCTTTGAAAATACCTGTAGCACTGACATTATATTAATGTTTTGCTTCTTGTAAACGTATATTTGAAAGTTTATATCCTTTGTTTTTAGATACCGATTTGTGAAAGATGGTAGATGGACGGTCAGCGATGATAAGCGCATATGGGCCGATGAGAATGGTGACTGCATTTTTGTCTCATTAATTTTAAGTCGTTTTAGGTTATCTTCACAACGTGCTTCTCACGTCGAGCCAAGGAGTTAAATGGGGTGAAACTTGGTAAAAATAATCTCTTTCCCCCAGTGATCACGATTGTTTTAGCTCGAAAGACAAATTTCAGCGTGGACCAATAAGCGGACCAATAGCGTGAACCAAGCCGACTCCCGCTTCACGCAAAACACCTACGATCAAGCAACATTATGGAGTTCGGTGGAAAATTCAAAACATTTGTTTTTAGGGGTATTATTCTACTTGTCGACTTAATAAATATTTACCACTTTTATTTGATGTGTTCTAATGGTCAAACTAGAAAATGAAACCAAGAATCTACTTTTTCTAGTCAACCATAAACTTTGCAAGTTGTTTCTTTCCTTTTCCCGTTACGACGTGTTACTCCGTCCACTGACGAAATTTCTAGCAGCGCTTTTAAATAACCCATTCTTTTGATCTTTTTTAAATGTCTCTACCTTTTTATACTTTATTTTTACCTCATCTAATTTTAATTTCAGGGCATGAGGAATGCAAAGCACAACAAAATGCGTACTGATCAACAACAAGTACTTAACGTTGGGCGGTCACACTGTCGAGAGATGCGGGAATTGCTCAAATCGCTAGCATTTAAAGAGGTTTAGTTATTTCAGAGATTCCCTGATATTACAACTAGGTAAATGGCAGAAGTTTTTACTTTTTTATAAGACATGCATAGTGATTCGGATACAACTTTGGCCTAAATATTGTGTTCACATCTCGCTAAAGAGAAATTAATTGAAATTTTATTTGAAATCTTAGCATTATTATTTGCTTTATTTTAGAACGTCACTTGTCTGGAACTCGGCTGGGGCAAAAGTGTTCACCAACGACGAACACTCGAATCAAGCGAGATTTTCTTCATCCTGATTGTTTCTCGTGGTAAGTCAGCTCGTTTTCTGGCCTTTTTTATTGATTTAATAACGTACATAGATATCTATAGAGTATGTGGATAACTTAGCCAATGTCATAGTTTTCTTTTAGTTTCACCGTTAGAGCGGATCAAGTGGCTTTTCGTTGAAGCTACAATACTTGGTAAATTGATTTTGACATATTATAACGGATATACTTTAGGAATGTTTATCGATACTGGATAACAATTTTCGACGTTTCCAACTCATCTATGAAGGACGTGAGCGCCACTACACGTTTATGTCGAAGAAGATGGGGTTGTATTGAGGGGAAAAATTCCGACACTTGAAGAAAATTTTTGGTGAATTATTGAGCAATATTAAAGTCTAATTTAAGTGTCAGCTTAAACCCTATTTTAGAACAATCTCGAATTCGACCTTGGAAATCGATTATTGACGTCTTTATGAAGCCGGATATTCTCAAGGATCATGATACGAGTAAGTTGTTGGGGGGATTGTAATATCCTATTGCTGATTTAGGATTTGGATCCAAAATCGCAGCAATTCGCCATCAAATTCAGCCCGAAACGAATCGTTTTTAAGGAAGGTGAACTGGGAAAGCATACGTAAGTATTTGGTTTAACTATTAGGTTGGCAACTTAATAAGTGTGACGCGTTTATGTAACAAATCATTTATTTTAAAAAACACAAAAGAAGAGCTTTCAATTCAAAAGGTATTCTCCATTAGTATCTATGACTTCTCCCATCTTCTGCGCAAATCCCGGATCTACTCGAAGAACTTGGAGTTTTTGAGGTGAAGTAGTCATTCACTGCTTTTATGATCCGGAGCATGATCATCGAACTTTTTCTCCCTTCAAAAAGTGCTTCAGCGACCGAAACAAAAAAGTAATCTGAAGGAGCCAGATCAGGTGAATAAGACGCGTGGGGCAAAAACTTTCCAGCCAAGTTCCACGATTTTCTTATAAGTGATCTTTGCAGCGTGAGAGATTTTGTTTTCTCGCGTAAAAATCTGACTCTCTCGGTTTGAGCCCCAATTTCTTCAAAGACTCGTTAACTCTCATTAATTGCTTCGAATAAAGATCGGCATCGACGATTTGGTCAGGTTTAGCACTTCATAATGCACCAATCCCTTGAAGTTCCACCAGCAACAGAGCATTATCTGCTTCCCGGGATACTACGGTTTGGGAGTGGTTTGAGGGGTCTGCCCAACAGATAGCCATTGCTTTTTGCGTTTAATCGCTCTGTGAAGGTTGATCCACGTTTCGTCAGAAGTCAAACCCTGGAAAAAGCCGTTCGGATTTACATTTTGTAGCAAAATCTGAGGGCGACATTGACACGGGCCATTTTGTTGTTTGTCAATTCGGGTGAGGAACCCATTTCCCAACACGATTCTTTTTCCCAAGTGTGTAAATAGTTTTCGTGACGGTCGCGGATACTTAAATATTTCTGCCAACTCACGAACGGTGAGTGCTGGGCACCCTTCAATTAAGGAGAGCAAGTCATCGTCGACCACTTCTGAGGATGTCCTGGTGTGGTTTGGGTTCTACGAGGCTTTCATCGCCGCCTTGGAATCTTTGAAACCATCGTTGACACGGTCGAATGTGTGTATACTTTCCTCTCCAAAACAGTGATGATCAAAGTGCGATGAGATTCAGCTGGAGATTTTCCTTGGTTAAAATCGTAGAACAATACAGCCTGAATACGGAATCTTTTGTCCTCCATTTTACTAAAAAGCGAATGATGAAATTACAGCACTAAATGCTATTTATGCAGACATCTTTACTTTGTATATATGCGAAAAGAGGGAAGAAACGGTGCTTGAAATTACAAAAACATGTTAAGTAGTGACGCGTCATTATTAAGCTACCAACCTAATAATAGGTATAAAGTTTTAAAATAAGAGCTCTTAACAAACAATCCTAAAATTGCTTGCTCTAAAAATATTATCATGTTTAGACAGTGTTTCCGCACGACCGATGAGAATGAGCAATACGAATGCGATGCAAATGGGGGACTTCTCGTATCGAGCCGCTACAATCAAGCGACTGATGACAGCGTTACATCAAGCAACACGGGGTCAGTTAAATTTTTGGTGAAGAAATGTACCTAGCTGGATCAGATTTGGTGCTTTGAAGTCTTACGAATTTAATAGTTTTCTAATAAAAACTCAGATAATTGATAAAAATATATTTAAAAATTCACAAGTACGTCTAGAGTGTATAAATTCTGCTCATAAATATTGAACTGTTTTTTTAGGTGCGGATACAAATCGATAATCGCGGTGTACCGAACATACAACTGACAAGGGGAACTCACCGATGCTGTCGAACAACCGTTTATTGAATTTACGAGTGTTTGCTTTTATTTGTTATTGCGAACAGTTATAACAATAGGTCAGCTAGTAATTTATTCATTTTAGTGTCTTTGCCTAACAATTTGATGAGGAGCTACATAGAGGAGCCAAGAAAATGGTCAATGAAGTGCCTTAAATGTTTGAAAGTTTGACTTTTGTTTGTTTTAAGTTTTGATTCTATTTTTGGATACTGGTATCAGTTTAGTCGATAAATGTGCATTTAAATAAAATTATTGAGGTTTACGAAATAATGTTTGCTGGAGTACATATAACGTTTATTCAAGGACATAGAATAGTGGCAAGAGTACCCAGTATGTAAATATTGTCTGATTGTTGAGAATGGCTCAACCCAACCAAGGAAAATGTGTCGTTGAGAGATGGAAATAATTTTAAGAACTAAAATGATCATTTTAAGTTCAATTCGCTCTCAGCACTTTACTCATTGTAAACGCACAGCACCCGTAGGAGTATCCGTTCCATGACGACTTTTGACTTACCGCCAAATCGATCACCTGTTTTTCGATTTGTTGGCACTCCGGTGAATGAGCTGACTAGTCTTCTCCGAAAAGATTTTAGTTTTAAAATAGGGAAATTCTCAACGTACAGTTCAGTTTACAAATCCTCTTCCAGAAAATTTAGATTTCTTTTTCTTACCTCGCCAAATCATTGAGAAAGCCAAATCGACGTTGTGCCCAGTTTTCGCACTTGTCTCAATGTAGGGAATGCTGTAGGACTGAAATGGTTAAAATTTGTAATTGTCGACGTTTTATTCTGGATTGGATCTCACTTACAGCCGCCAATTGTCTCCCCTCTTCGATTTTCACTTTCGTTGTCCTGCTGGGATCACTTTTGTTGCCGACAATCGTCAATTGAACGGACTCCTGGCGTGCTCTTTGATTTGCGAGAGCCAGCTTCTAAAATTTGAGAAGCCTTGGGTTAAGGCTTAAGGCTTAAAGGCTTAAAGGCTAAAGGCTTAAAGGCTTAAAGGCTTAAGGCTTAAGGCTTAAAGGCTTAAAAGGCTTAAAAGGCTTAAGAGAAAAAAGGGAATCAATGCACTCACGCGAATATTCTCGAAACTTCTACTTGCAACATCAAATACAAGAAGAAGCGCATCTGCATCTCGGTAGTAAGAGCTAGTCACCGAGCGGAAACGCTCTTGCCCGGCTGTGTCCCAAATCTGGATTTTAGCGCTGAATTTAGTCGATTTTGAAAAGCCAAAGCCAGAAAAGCCAAAAGCTATTCAGCTATTCGCTATTCAGCTATTCAGCTTATTCAGCTATTCAGCTATTCACCTGCAGTCACCTTTGACTGATCGATTTGCACCAATTATTCTAGAAATTTTTGTTTACAAGAAAGATTTCTTTAGCGTCGATTACCCGGATAATCCGATTCCGACTGTGTGAAATGAAATTGTTGTTGAGAAAGTTCCATCTTGAATCGTATCAAGAGACATGTTTTCCCTGTGCACAAATCGTCACCGAGAAGCATCACCTAGAAAGTCGAAATGTTTGTGAGTGAATTTTTGAATTTGGATTTAGATTTGAATTCATTTTCTTGACCTCTCAACTCTACACTGTTTTCTCCCTCTCCACTTTCATCCAACTTCCCAAGTTTCATCAACTTTTCTCAAGAAACTCATCAAAATTCCGGGAAAGCTAGACTGGCTGGCTGTGAAAAGCTGAAAACTGGCTGAAAGTTTAGCCCTTTTTGGCAGGCTGTGTGTTGCCAGTTGCGCAAAGCCTTTTTTGGGATTTTTTGCTCTCTCTACATTTTTGGGAATTGTCAAAATGAAAAAGCCAAAGTTGATATCAAGAAATGAGCATGTCTCAAGAAGAACTTCAATGCAAAATCTGGAAGGAATCTTGAAGCAAAACTCGATTTCCCTTTTTGATTGAGAAGTGCGGAAAAATTGAGTTTACTTTGAATGACCTTTTGAGGGATTTGAGTAAGAATTGAGTAAGAATTGAGTGAGAAAGGGAAGATTTTGAGAATCGAGAATTGAGGATGGAGAATTGAGGAGGAGAATTGAGGATGGAGAGAATTGAGGATGGAGGAATTTGAGGGGATGGATTAGGTGCAGAAAAGGTGTTTGCATTCGAGATTTCCATGAAGAATCAGAGCTCGTATGCTACCCTTCGGGAAACGTTCCGGTGGCGTCTCTGATTCTCTGAGCGGCACCTTTGATCTTTCCGGTAAAATGCCTATAGAACGTGCTTTTCTTCTAGAGTTTCGGGTAAACTTTCCGCCATGAACTGGAAGCAACTTTCTGGTTAGCACACATCTTGGGAAAATTCATAACAGGTTTACCGAAAAGATCAAAGGTGTCGCCGAAGAGACGAAGGTATCGCTGATCTCAAAGGTGAGATCAGGGACGGCTATCATAAGCTAGCTCATAGCTCAAGACCCATAACAGCTCCGAAAAACTGAGCTAAACTTGAATGCCAGATATCTTTTGATACAGAGCTCATTGGGAAAACTAAAAGCAGATTCGGAATCCCCATTCAAAGCTCTATCAAATACACTAAATACGCACATCAAAAAAGCCCACCTTGACCTAATGCCTTTCCCTAGTAAGCTACCTCAATGTCATATTTGACCGTAAACTCAACCTTTGGCACACGCCGGAACTTTCCCGGAGCGTCGGGAAAAGTTAGAGGTGGATATGGGCTTGTTTGTGTTGGGAGATAGAAACGCTACCCCCTCTGGTGCACTAATTTCTTTTTAATAATGCAAACCACGAATGAACTGATCGGCTGATGAACAAAGGATAATTTATACGACTTGGATTCACACCACAAGTCTAGAAATGCTAGGAATGCAAGGGAAATGTGGGAGGTTTGGAAGGCTTGAATTCCGGAATGCTAGGAATGCTAGGAATGCTAGGAATGCCAGGAATGCCAGGAATGCCAGGAATGCTAGGAATGCTAGGAGATTTTATGTGAAGATCCAAGTACTGTTTATCTATTAGAACTTATCAATATTCTAATGCTTTCCTTTTTTTTTGTTGATGTCTGAATTCTTTTCGATTCCCATTCTCAATGTCCCAACTCGAGAGGCTCATTTGTCATGAAGGACTCTGAGGGTTCAGATCTTCAAGAGGCTCACAGGAAAAGGAAAAGGAAAAAGAAGAAAAAGGAAAAAGGAAAAAGAGAAGACCCATTTACCCAAAAGCAAAACGCTTGGAGGGGAAAGTCTGCGTCTGATGAATAGAAAAGGGAAAAGACTTCTTTGAGTTGAGAATACGTTACTGACGACTAGAGAGCTGGAGTACCTTGGCAAGTAGTAGCTCCAATCGACCTTCGGCAGTGAGTTTAAATCAATTCGATCCGAGTTCCAATTGAGATCCGATATGGTAATAAGTTTTCGAGTTTCTCTAAAAGTTTAAGGCAATTAACCCGAATTTCAATTGGCATCAATTCCAATAAAATAATAGCTCCAATCGATTGCCCGATCCCGAAAACTCCCGGGTACAAATTTAAAGCTGAATATCTTTTTTTTCCTCTTTCCTCGGCGAGCTGTTCTTTGTGCGGCCTGGCAATCGCTCACCATCTGGCAAAGCGTTCTCGGCATAGGATGCTTTCATTTGGAATCATTAACAAATGAGCCCCTCTTTCCTGGGCATGAGAATTTTCTAATCCGCTTAGTGACCAGGCTGATGTGTTCTTCTTTGTCGCGGCCGGGGAATCGCTCACCATCTGGCCAACTGTCCTGGCATAAGGTGCTTTCTTTTTGTAATGATTAACGAATGAGCCCTCTTTCCTGGGCATCAGCATGTTCAAATCCTTCTAATGACTGGCGAGGTGTTCTTTGTGTGGCCGGACAATCGCTCACCATCCGGCAAACCGTCCTGGGGTAAGGTGCTTTCTTTGGAATCGTTAATTAATGAGGCCTCTTTCCTCGGACGTCACCATTTTCCAACTCCCTTAGAGAAGATTCTGCACCAGATTTGACCATATTTTAATATTCTCATTGATTATTTATATTTATAGTATTTTTATTATCATTTAATATTTTTTATGATTTCTACCCAAATTGATTGTTTCTTTTTTCTTTCTGTAACCCTTTTGTATCGTGAAAGCGTGACGATGTTTGTAGGTAATCTTTAAGTATTCTTAGCATTCTTTAAACTCCCAAATCTCACTGATCCTCTTCTTTTTTCATTTTCTTTTTCCTTTTCTCAAATCTCTTTCTCCAATATATTGTTCTTCAATTTCCACACCCACTTTCCAGCCCCAAAAAAAATGCAAAGGAAGCAATTTGTATAGATATTGAGCCTGGGAATTCGCTTTTTTTTTTCCTTGAGAGGTGAAAGATCTCTAATAGCGTGGATCTAGTTCCCTGGATTCACGCTATTATAGAGATTTTGAGAAATCGTGGGAGAATTTATTTCTTTTGCGATTGAGTTTCAAAAACGATCTCAAGCTTATGAAAGTTGAAATCTTCTGGAGTTTTTGGCTACGATCAGCGCGGATTAGCCTAGCTTTTCAGTACTTCCTAAACTGCAAATTATTTTGGAAATAGATCTTGATCTTCTTAAATCTTAAAATCTTAAAGGATCTTAAAGATAAAGATTAAAGATAAAGATTAAAGATTTTTGAAAAAGATCTTGGTTAAGAGAACAAAGAAGCTACTCAAATCTACTGAGAATACGGTTCCAATATGGTTCGGATAGAGTTGGAATGAATATGAAATAACATTTCCAATAATAGTTCCAATATGGTTCGGATACGGTTCGGATACGGGTCCAATATGGTTCCAATATAGTTCCAATATGGTTCCGATATGGTTCAGATATGGTTCCAATATAGTTCCAATATGGTTCCAATATGGTTCCAATATGGTTCCAATATAGTTCCAATATGGTTCGGATACGGTTCCAATATGGCTCCAATATGGTTCCAATTTGGTTCCAATATGGTTCCAACATGGTTCGGATACGGTTCAAATATGGTTCCAATATGGTTCGGATACGGTTCCAATACGGTTCCAATATGGTCCAATGTGGTTCGGCTCATTGAGCCAGTAGATTTGTAGCTTCAAAAGTATGACAACATTTCACCAATCTATTTAAAACGAAACTCCAAAGCATGCTATTTCGAAGCTTTAAACGCCAAAACAGCAAAAAGAGTGTTGTCTAATGAAAAAATGGTGTTAGTGTTGTTTTTAGAAAATTAGAAAAAAGATATGATAGCTCAAAGATCAAAGGTCTGAGCTTTTAGATACTTATAAATGAAATATTTACAAAAATCTAACGTGATGCTCATAAATCTAACCTATCCAGAATACCAGCTAACCATTCATTTTCGAGATTTTGCCAAGCTACAATGTCTTGTTTTTTTCCGACTCAGAACCAGAAATTCCTTTTCCCCAGTTCATTTTACGCTCAAAAATCGTTTTCGCTAAGTGTTGCCATTGGTTGTCTCCACGTCTCGTTTTGCTTGCTTTGCATTGTTTTCCCTTTTTCTGAATTCTCTCAAAATGGGTCTATTTTCTCTCAAAACACTTGGGAAATAGATTAGAAAAAACGATTCAAATAAGACTTCCTGGAAGATAAATTACTCCTGGAAAAAGGTTAAGAATCGACAAAAATACTGAAAAAATTCTTTTACAAGGTAAATGGATTGTAAATTTTGAGCGAAGAGGGAAATTGGGGGATTTTTGTAGAAAAAAAGGGCTAAAAAACGTCTCGTAAGCTAAGGTAAACAGTGTTTTTGTTAAAAACTAACAAGGGAACTACATACACTTACCGACGCCGATTGCCCCCATTTGGTGGGGCCCCGATTGCCCCGATTGCCCCTGATTGCCAGGTCGACTCTGGGGAACAAAAATCCAGCTACAAAGCTCCAAGATCACTGTAGTTATAGTGTTTTTAATGTTTGGTAAGCTTTGGATGACAATGGGGTTCTCTCTATTAGGATATTAGGGCTAGCTAGCAAGGCACTTTTAAATACTGTGCTCAAAACTTTCAAAGTTAAACGCTTTTTTATATTTTTGGTTTTTCAAACGACTTAGATTGATACGTAAAGTAATGAGAATTGAAATTGATTTGAAATTGAATTGAAATTGAACAATGACAAGTGACAACTTTCGAAAACCAACCGTGAACGAGTAGTCAGCGTCCGCGAAAACACTCGAGCGCTTTCGGAGATTCGGTCGTTGAGATGCTTCGGTCATGGTCGGATCTCTTAATTTCTTAGTTTTTCTCGATTTTTACTCGAATAAAGCATAAGCTGTGAGTTTTAAATGAAGAAAGCAAGTTAAACTTTAAAAAAACAAGATGAGACTTTCAAAAAACATTCACAAGGATGCCCACAAGCTTTTGGTCCAAGCTTTTGGTCCAAGTTCCAAGTCCAGCTCTTTGTAAAATGTTAGAGAATTTAAAAGAGTAGCTTGTCCCTTGTCGCTTGTCCCTTGTCGCTTGTCCCTTGTCGCTTGTCCCTTGTCGCTTGTCCCTTGTCGCTTGTCCCTTGTCGCTTGTCCCTTGTCGCTTGTCCCTTGTCGCTTGTCGCTTGTCGCTTGTCGCTTGTCAAAAGTCTTTTTAAACCTTTTCTTTAACAATTTGTATACAATAGAAATTGAATATTTCCAAATTGCAATAGAAAAGAAGGAAATTTATAATTCAATTTTTTAATTAACATTTATGTTTTCTTTGAATCTAACGAGTTTCTCCGAAAAAGCGGTTGGAGATGAAAATTGCAGGTGCTTTTCATATTTAAAAGCTTTTCAAGGCAATCAAAAAATTCATTCAAAAGACAAAAATTTAATTTGAAAGCAGTTGGATCAGTCAAAAACGATTTCTGGCTTGTAAAAGGTTTTCAAAAAGCTTTTAACAGCTTTAACCTAATCTTGTGCTACTTTTAAACTTACAAAAACTTTATTTCGCAAAAAGCAAAAGAATTGGTGGCGAGGGGGTCGAACCAGCGATCTCTCTTTTCGCTCGTTTGAGAGACGCACGCGTTAACCACTCGGCTATGCTCAAGCGCAAGGAGCGCACTTGTCTCTAGCCCACACGATTCGGGACGGACAGGCAGACAGACGGGTAGACACAGCTCTTTTATATATCGACTAGCCGAAGAATCTGGATGTTTTGGGAATGGACAGCGTCAGAGTGAAGCAGTGGATAGCGCGGTGCGCTGGGTGCGGACTAGTAGTGCGCACAGACATACAGACGGACATAGCTCTTCTATATAGTAGATGCTCATAGGGACTTATAGGATCGCAATACTGTAAAAATCAGCCTAACAGAAACGTGGGATATCTGACATAGAAGTGAAATCTGTGGTTTCAAACGTTTCTTTCGTCAGACGTAGTTTGAGCTCTGAGCTTTGAGCTGAATTTGTTTCTGAAAACAGGAAAAGATTTCATGTGTGTACTTGAGGGATAAGCTGAGGTTTTTTGTTAGGATTAAGTAGTAGACAAAGTGATGGAAAAGAAAAGAATAGACAAGTAGACAAGTTTACTGCTACTTTATCTACTACTCTCTTTGACGAAGTAGTAGACAAAGTAGAAGACAAAGCAGTAGACAAAGTAGTAGGGAAAGTAGTAGGGAAGTAGGTAGGGAAAGTAGTAGGGAAAGTAGTGAGGGAACAAAGTAGCAGACAAAGTAGTAGACAAAGTAGTAGACAAAGTAGTAGACAAGGTAGACGTAGACGTATGTATTAAGGACATCACTAAGGAGCAAGATTCTTGATTTAAGATACTGAATGATTACAAAATTTGAAATAGAAGAAAGCAAAGGATATCTAGGGAAAAGTTTGGGTAAGAATATGTGTATTTTCGATGGGCTCACATCATTCAAAAGGGATGAAATTAAAGAAAATAAAGAAAAGAGAAGAAATAAAGGGAAAGAGAAGAAATAAAGGAAAAGAAAGAAAAGGAAAGGAAAGGGAAGGATTTTGGGGTGTGTGCTTGAGAAGGAGAGGGGAGGGCTAGAGACTCTGGGGGACTTAGGAGAGAGACCTAGAAGAGTGGCCTAGAAGAGAGATCTAGAAGAGGGCTCTAGAAGAGCGGCCTATAAGGACCCTCCTCTATGTGTCAAGAAAACAGAAGATGGGACTACTCGATTGAGAAAACGACACAAGCATTCATAAAAACTTGAGCTCATTCTTCGAATTAGTCCGATAGGACGAAAGATTTGACGATGAATTTGTCGAAGCCCGGGTAAAAAGTGTAAGCTCTTAGGAAAAACAGTTCACCGGCGGCACAGGCTTTGCAAAATAGGGGAATAATTCAGCTGTTTGTTGACAGCTGAATGTTGGGTGAAAGGCTGAATGAAAGGCTGAATTGTTTGTGGGTGATTGATTGTTTGAAGATTGAACACCACGAATACGACGAAGATTCTTTAGTGATTTATTAGGGAAATGGAACTTTTTTAAGCATAGTAAACACATCAGGAAATGCCTAATGACTATTTGAACATAAGCTAATGAATTACTAGTTGAATTTTGACGAAAACTCGACTCTTTTATCTGCTGAAATAAGTCTTTTCTTTGAAAAACGATCGACCCAACCTCAACACTTTTCTATTTTTTGCTTCTTTCTTTTTATTCAAAACGCCAAGAAACCAAAAAAAGCTGGAAAAATGGATACTCTTGTGTGAGGTTTTTGAGAAAGGTTTGATACAGAAATTAGAGAGTCTCCCTAAGAAACATCCCAGAGTCCTAAGAAGCATTCCAGAGTCCTAAGAAGCATCTCAGAGTCCTAAGAAGCATCCGAAAAAAATAATAAAATAAAAAAATTTCAGAGTCCTAAGAAACATCCCAGAGTCCTAAGAAACATCTCAGAGTCCTAAGAAACATCCCAGAGTCCTAATTATAAATTTAAAATTTTAAATTTAATTTAATTTAATTAAATTATTATTTATGGTTAAGAAACATCCCAGAGTCCTAAGAAACATCCCAGAGTCCTAAGAAACATCTCAGAGTCCTAAGAAACATCCCAGAGTCCTAAGAAACATCCCAGAGTCCTAAGAAACATTCCAGAGTCCAAGGAGGATCTCAGAGTTCTAAGATTTATCCAGCTCGTCTTAAGAAATTTCTAGAAATCGAATGTTCTAGAAAAGATTCGTTTCTATTTTTAAAGCACATTTGAAGCAATAAAGAAAAGCAAAGCTAGAAAATTTAACAAATTTTCCATTTATAAAAGTTTAATCAAAGAGTTTTTAATTGGAAAAGTAGAAATTTGAAAACTAAATTTAGAGAAAAGAAAAGAAAGAAAAGAAAGAACTTGTAATCCCTCAATCTATTCATTTTGCTTTCTTTTCTTTCTTTCTTTCTTTCTTTCTTTTCAAAAGATTTCTTTGTCGCTTTCAACAATGGGACACTGATTTTCGAGAGAATTTCCCTCGACTTTTTCCTTTGATTTTTTCTTTCTTTTATTTCGAAACTTTTCATGGCTTCATCAAAAATCGCTTCAATTCAAAGCTTCAATGAATTGAGGCGAAGAATGAATGGAGTTTAGCGATTTAAAATTGATTTAAGCTTTCATTTTTCAATGTTAAAGCTCTAAATTTGTCAATTCAAAGGCATGGTTTGGTGAAATTCTTGTAAAATTAGCTTAAGATTGATTCAAGAAAAATACAAAAATCAAGAAATCAAGAAAACAAGAAAACAAGAAGAAGAATCAAGAAAAGAACAAGAATATTCTTGAATTCTTGAATACAAGGATATTCTTCTTTGTGAATACAATTTGAGAATCAATCCAAACTCAAAACTAGCATTGAATTCAAGAAAATTCAAATCATTTCACTTCAAGAAAACCGGGAAACCCATTTTCGCAACAAGATTTAAACAGCAATTTAAACAGCAATTTAAACAGCTATTTTTCAAAAGCAATTAATCATTTAGCAAGATCTCTGGGGAAAATGGGACCTTGCTAAATGATTTAGATTTTAAAACAAAAATAGGTTTGAGACAATCTTTTCAAATCATCTTCTAGGAGTGAAGCTGAAATTATGAAATAAGATTGAGATCTTAAAAACGAAAGATTTTCAACCAATTCTACGTGATATTTTAAGAGATTCAACAAACAGCAAAAACAGAGATTCAACAATTCTAATTTTTCGATTAGATTTCAATTCAATCAATTAAATTCAAGTCAATCCAATTCAATTCAATTCATCGACTGTCAAGTCAATTCCATAATTCAATCCAAAAGTCAATCCAATTCAATCCGATTCAACCCAACCAACAAAACCACTCAATCCAAGTCAGTACAAGTTCAATCCTATTACAAAACAAACCAGTTCAGTCAATATCAAGTCAGTTGATCCAATCAGTCAATTCAATCCTGTTAATCTCAATTCAATTCAATCATCAATTCAATTCAGGTCAGATCCAGTGATCCAATCCAATTCAATCCATTATTCAATCCAATCCAATCCATTTCAATCCAATCCAAGTCAATTCAATTCAATCTCAATCGTTTCAATCTCAAGCCAATCCAATTCAATCCAATCACAATTAACTCAATTCAATCCAATCTAATCAATCAAGCAACCAACCAACCAACCAACCAATTCATAACCAACTAATTCAACCAACCAACCATTCAACCACCAACTAACAAGCAACCAATTCAACCTCAAGATCCAATTCCACCACCTCCCAACAAGTCAATTGATCATCCGATGATCAAGTCAATCTCAATTCAAGTCAATCCAATCCGATTCGATCCGGAGCGATTTCAGTTCAAGTGAAGAATAATCAATTCAATTCAATCCAATCCATCAATTCCGTCCAACACTGTTCAATCCAAAGAATGTGATAAAAAAGTGAAAGTAAATGCTAGAAACGATGCATTTCTATGTTCACGTACAAAGTTACAACGCGAAGTACTAGTTTTCTGTCTGAATTTAGAAGTTTCTAAACTTTCTGGAAGTTTCTAAACTTTCTAAAAGTCTCTGAAAGAGTGTAAAGATTTTCCTGAAAAGCTATACTCGTACGAAAAAGCATAAAAACATTTCCCGAATAAGCTGAATGACTTGTAATCCGTCAAATTAGAAAGATCTCCGGGAAAATATGAAAAAGGGAAAAGTTTTTTGAAATATGCAAAATGAGAGGTGAGATATTGGAGAGAAAAAAGAGATCTGGGGAAAGGAAATGGCCAATTAGTAGGCTCGAGAAGAAGGCAAGGAGAAGAGAGAGGGAGGGAAGAAGGGGGAGGAAGAAGGGGGA